ATTTCATCTTTATGATGAGGAGATTCAAAATGTGCCAGCCATTTCTTAAATCATCATTTAAGATGCTTCCTGTCCTTGTGGGCATTTGTTTGGCTTTTATGTATTTGAAGAAGCAGACTGTGGATGCTTGTTAGCTATGCACAGCATGCAGGATAAATGCAAATGCTTGATGGTGTACCAAATATGGCCCTTTGATTTTGCAGATGTGAAGCAGAGGGATACTACCCAGGTTACAAAGCTTTCTAAATGTAAGGCTGAATGACCTGTAATAGAACAATAGATGGGGGGGAAAAAAGTAGCCAAAATGAAACCAGAAATAAAAATACACATTAAACTGGGAAAAGGTGAAATGTGAAATCTATCCCTTTTCTATAAACACATGTGGAAAGAATAACACCTAGGCTTTTTATTGTTGGCTTCCCCCCTTCCACCTCCTTTACATTCCAAGAGAAGATCTGCCAACTTTTGGCTGTATCCGTTTCTCTTCTGTTGTTTGCCAGTATTAGTGCTCTCTAGCACGCATTCTTTCCTAAGACTTCAAAACGAGTCATTTGTTAGGTCTAAGTGTTTAAAGAACCCTTCCCTCCTTTGCCTGGAGCCAGCTGGGTGGTACACAGCGCATTCGCACACCCCAGCTCACACACCACCAGCTTGGCTGAAATCTTTAATTGCAAAGGCTCTTGAACCAGACTTCACACTGCATGCCCTGTGTTATTGTAGATCAGAAGACCCCACACCAATACATTCTAGTGCTTTTAACACTCCCTTTGTCCTAAAACACACAGTGAAACAAATATACCTATGTTTTGCTTGTTGAAGCTGCTGATGCAGAGCTTCAGTACCTCTGGCCTGTAAAGCATTTCTAAAATCTTAGATCTGGGTCTGCTTATCCTTACACATATAAACAGAGGGAGAATTCACCTCTGCACAAAAAGATTAGCACAGTTTAACTGTTTTAAGATTTAAGATGGACTCTATGGTGAAGAGGTTCTAGACAAAGGGCTGAGTTTTACAAAACGAAAGATGAATTAACATAATTAAAAATTAAATATTGAATAATTTAGGGTGTACAATACTCACTTTTTGAGTACAATAATGTGATAATGGGGTAAGATTCAGATCTGATGTAAAATACGCCAACACGTTGCTAAAGCTGCATCCACTTCAAACAGGTCTTAGTCTGTCTCTGGAGCAGAAAGAAATATAAATCTCAATCAGCTTGATTCCAAGTCCACTGATTTTAATGTTAGCTTTGTTCGTAAGAGTAACCCTTCTATGTTTATTTCTTTCAAAGATCAAAAAAACCCGGTCACGCCAAGAGCTATTAGAATATATGTAACAATTCTACACCCTGCTCCCTCTTTCCCTGTCTCTATTTCTTTCCTTCTCTTTTTTTCCTCTTGTGGAGAGAGTGGAAAAGCTTGCAAGGCCCTGCTGAGTTATTTGCCTTATGTAATCCTGTGAGTAGTGGAGTGAGGAAGCTCCTGAGTGCTCGCTACCACTCTCTAAGGTAACAGCGTCCTCAGCCACAACGCCCTGAAACTGCATTTTGGGTAAATGTTATATGGGATGCAGAAGAAGAGTAGTGAACCACTGGCTGGCTGTGAAGACTTTAGGTTTGGTTTATTATTATATTCAGCCACAAGGTAGGTCAGATCCAGATCCAACTGCCTTAACATTTGATAGTGTTCAGTTCTAGGATCACGGTCACCTCTCTATTACAAAATTGGTCTCACAATGTGTTTTGATACACTTCCTACAATTCATACAGATTAGCAGGTATGAGAAAAGGGAAAAGTACTACTGTGATTACAACATATAGTAAGCAGTAGTGGGTGCCATACATCTGTCTTCTGAAGGTGGTGTTAAGCACATCTCTGCATTCAGGCAAACAAAACTTTCTTAGAGGTCAAAAATCATTGTACAATGATTAAAGATACTGACAAAGCCAAAAAACGGGCATTTAATACCATGTTTAGGCTCTCATTTAGGAGATTTTGTGGAGAAGAGTGTTACTTAAAACTAACTGCTGTTGACCATTGGAGAAATGAGGAAAGATAATATAATCTTAAGCAATCCCAGTTTTGGTCTGTTCCCTTGACCTGGATTAACCTTTTTCCTTTTATCTGTATTTTAATTCCAAACACCTCGCTTGAATGCGACTGTATCCAGGTCTCTGCTAAAAGCTTTAATGAGCAACACTAAGGTCAGAGGAAATGTTTGAACTTTATTATTATTTCATACAAATGCTGTAGGGATCCTTGAATCTCCCATAATTATTAGTGGTTTTGGTCTCCAGTGAGATGTTCAGCATCTGGCTGTATTAGTTTATTGATTTCTTTTTTAAATGGTTATCTTTCAAGAGCCATTTAAAATACATGTTTCTTCTTAACTTGCTATTTACAGGCACACACACTGAACAAAGGCTGCACAGAGCTGGGTCCAACTTTCTTTTGCAAACAAGAAGTAAACAGTAAAATGGCCTTTATAATCTTAATGTAAATATTTCTATTTCTTTCTTGAGTGAAAAAATGATAATTTTATACATAGCACACTTTCACTACTCTTACTATATTGTGGTTAACTACTGTTAATAGACCAAGGAAAAATCAACTAGGCATTCTTTCCATTTATTACATTACAATAAAATGTATTGTTTTGTGCAATTAATATTAACAAAACTCATGTCTATTTAAATGTGCACATTACTGTAGTCAGTGTAGACTGAATAGAGCACATAAAACTTGTTGGCTTTAATCAATAGAAAGCCTAGAGCAGCTAATTATTTTATAAATTATTAAGTATTCTTTTCATTGTTTGCATCCTATTAATACCTCGGGAACTTATTAATGGACCAGGACTCCAGCTATTCTGTTTCCAGTAGCTGCTCACAAAAAAGTGAGTAATTCCCTTACATGGTGTCTCTGATTTACTTGTAAAACCAGTCCAAATTGGTTTGGATAAAGACCACATGGGTGAGGCCAATATTGCTACATGGACTGAAAATTGACAGGATCCCAAAACCTTTAATGAGCGTATGGTGGGGGTCAGCCTGATAGGGACAGATTAGGGGCAACATGGACAGTACTATCTGTGAACTGAAGCTCCTGGAATGTATGTGGTATAATACTGGATACTGGAAAGGTAACAGTGTCATGCAGCAGTGAGTGCAAGCAAAAAAACACGGGTCTAGGACTCAGGCATTCTTAAAGTTAAACTTGAGATTACATCCTAACTTCTTACCTGGAAAACAGACAGCTGCCAGACTACGAGTTCTTGATCTATGAAGTGTAGAAATTCCTTCTCAGCTTTGGTTTAGCTTCAGCTTGCCTCTTATAGAACGGAAGAGCCATAAACATCCCCTCCAAAAAGAAAGTGGGCAGGGAGAAGACATTTTGGTTGTAAAACCTAGGCTTGAGGAGGAAGATGTGATTGTGGCCAGAGTCCTGGTACAAAAGGGCTTCTGCATCTTTATACATGACTATTGCAGCAGTTTCCTCAAAAGTCAAGTTCCAAAGTCTTGAAATTGCAGGATATTAAGGATCCCTAAGGCTGGTAAAAAGGGACTAAGGCTTTTCACTGGCCTGAATCCAGTCCACCTTAGTACTGAGGAGTGCCTGAAAGTTAATCCCATGATGAATGGTCTTCACAAAGTTGGCTGGTTCTGGTCCACATCAAAATTGGCATTAAACAGCAGTCTCAGTAAAAGATCAGAGCCAACTTAGGCTATCACCCTTGCAGATTGTGTTTGGGGTGCATTCCTGAGGCTCTGGGGGAGGCTTCTAGTGCCACTAACTTCTTTCCTTTTCACATGCACAGAGATAAAGATGGCAAGTTATCAGAGAATGAAGCAATAACACCAAGTGTGTCCTGAAGACTAATGAAACAGTGTAAGCATCACCCTGAAAAAACATGAGATAAAATTACTCTCAATAAGGCAAAACCACAATATATATTAAGAAAGCATGGGCTTCTCCCAATTAATCCCATTCTGAATAACTTTTTTTTTCCATAAATTTTTTTAATTTTTTTGATTCTGAGAGAGGTTACCTAGATGAAAAATTTTTGCCTGAACCAATAAACCTCTTCAAAGTTGCAAGTTTCTGCAAAAGGGACTTAAAATTAGATATATCATGCAGTTTTATGACTAGAGAACATTGCATCACCTGTGTCCATTATGAATTCGCATGAATCATTCCTCACTTGCTTACAATAAAAATATGGCTTTAGAGAATTGAAATGTGAACTTCAATAAAGTCAAGATTTACTAAGCTAAACAAACTCATAGTTGCCCATAGTTTTCTTACTTTGGACTTGTCAAGCTTTTCTCCCACTATGTTTCTAAATTCCTTTTACAGCTTAATACAACACAAATTAATTTAATTTTTAGAAGTCAGAGTACACCAGTTTAAGGTCAATATTAAGTTTGATACATATCCAGAAATTCTAATAATTTTAAAACATTTTGGAGAAGAAAGTTTAGCCTAAAAAACCTCAAGGATTCAACTACTTTACTTCAACAGACCTGCATGTAAAGCCTGAGAATGACATCTTGGCATCCAATTTAAAAACATGTTGAAGCCATGGTTAATATTTCTATACAAACAAGCAACAACCTTCATAACAGTCATTTAAATGTGCACATTTAAATGCACACAAAAAGGAGTATGTGGCTTTTACTTGTTTATGGGAATGTATAACTAAAAGAATACATAAAAACTTACCATATTCGAGCTTGGATCTATCTGTGAGCTACAGCAGATAATCCTCATTAGAATAGATTCTGTGAGTGGAGAATGGGAACCCCATGATATCTGCAATGCTGCACCAACACCTTATACACTGTGGCTTCATGAAACCAGTGAATCTATCAACATTCATGGCATGGGTTACCTGAAACCAGAACTGTGCATTCTCTTCTCTTAAAAAAAAAGAGGGACACCAGGGATTTTTTTGTTTGTTTGTTTTATTTTATAAATCAATAGCTTTATAAACATACAAATAAACCAAATATATTATATTTGTGTTGAAATATCATTTCAAGGTTTTAGACTAAAGATTATTTTGAAGTTTAGAGCTCAGTTTAGGAAACACTGTAAAAGTCCAAACACTGTAATTAACAAAAAATAGGTTTCCCTATCTTATTCTTTAAAGAATACTATCTAACTTAAAATTAGATCCTTGGACTGAAGGAAAGCAAAGTAAACAAAAACCCTGGATAGAATAGTAAACTAATTTTTAAGGAATCTGAAACATCTTTATTTAGCCAAGGTTCAAAGTTACAAATCTTTATTTCCTTTGATCAGGGAGAACTTCCACCTAAATGTTGACTGTCATTCAACACACTACTTGGATTTTAAGCTCACAAACATACTTCACCAGAGAAACTCAAAGTGCAGGGATCAAAGTCTTTTTACTGTGTAGCTCTTATGGAAAAAAAATGCTTTTCTGAATTGGGGCCTTTACAGCAGGACTCTCTTCCCATCAAAATACACAAGATCAGTAATGAACTGAAGGACCAGGGAATCCAAACTAGATGCTTTTAACAATGCTAATTAAATTAAACTATACTGAACTTAAAATCAAATCTGCCGAATACTAATGATTCAACAAAGTGGTTGCCTGCTCCTGAACACAGTTTAGTATGCCAACACTTCTATACCACTTCTCTTTCTGTGAAAGTACCCTTGTTGCTATTCACACAGGAGAATGAGTCTTCATAGCTGTTAGTTCCAATTAACGACTGGAAATGCTTATTTTACAGATTTATTCTGAATTCAGAATGAATGTGATTAGGAAACAGACTCAACAATTCAAAACCACCTGCAAAAACCACTTTAGAAGATAAATGACAACCATCTACACAACAGAGCATTATAATTTTTGTAATTCTGACACCTTAGACTCAATCTTCTTACTGTTTACACCAACAAAAATCAGAACTGACTTCACAAAGTTACTCAAGTGTGTAACTGTTATAGATAAGGGGTAAGAGCCTTTCAATACTCTTTCCCATATTGGCCTACAGAGCTGGTAGAAAAATTACAACATTCCATACCTTTCTGGTAGGATTCAAAAAAACCAAGAAAAGCAGGATAGCAAACACACAAATTATTAACATTTTACACAATTATCCAGCTAATGAATTACAAGGTAACACTAGTGGTAGGCACTGTAGTAGAGTTTAAAGGAGGTGTCCCATAGTTACAGTAGTAGTCGTCAAAGACAGAGGACTGAGAGATCCCCTACAAATAATAAAAACATGATTAGTAATTTAGCTGATTTCCTGATATCTTCCAAAATGTTCTGAAAATGGCACTAGGAAGTCAAGATAAGTGCTGAAAATCACTCAACATCACAGTATGTGATATTCTGAGTTGGAAAGGACTTACAATGATCATAGAGTCCAACTTTTATGTGAATGGCCCGTAACGGGATCAAAACCACAACCTTGGCATTCTTAGCACCATCCTCTGACCAACTGAGCTAATCTTATGTTAAACAATTAAGCTACAACTCTGTATACAACAGAGCTTTATAAGAGAGTTAGTAAATAACTGGAAGGGAACTGTAGCTGTTAGAAAGCCAGTTACAAGAAAAATTGGTTTAGTTTTCCAATCGTTCCCTTGAATTTAACAGATAGCAAAAAGTCGTATATAATGGACCAGGTTTTGGTGCCAGACACGCTTCTTTGAGGCCAGGACAGCTCCAGGACATTCCTCTTCACAGGGCTGAAAGCGGCCACAGGCCCACCTCCTCAGGCCAGAGATAATCCTGTTATGCTCTGAAGGACCACCATATACATGGAAATAAAATGGAAGAATCACCTTTTCCCTCAAATGTCACCCACCATTAATAACATATGCCCACAAATCATCCTTCAGCACACCAAACTTGAGGAATGCAAGATCCCATTTGGTGCTTGCTCACGGAAGCAGATACAAGAACATCTCCAGTGAAGTCCAAGAAGTTACACTGGCCTGTCAGCTGCACTGGGGAGAGGCATATAGTGTCCACATATTTTAATAAAATATTTTAATAAAAACAATATTTTAATAAAAACATTCATTCTGAACTAATTTTTCTGCATCATCTTCCATTCTTGTTTCTCTGCAGTTGTCCTTGTGACCCATTTTCTAGGCAGTTTCTAGGCTCTGTGTATGTAAAGACCACTACTCACAACAAGCTCCATTTGAAAATATTTATCACTCATAAATCACCCACTTGTCTATTTCCCCTCAGCGTCCTTTCAGCAGGCAGTTAATGAAGTTAGCAGCAGTGATATTTATAGAGTACTCATGGCCAACACGTTGCTCATAGTAACTCTTCCAAGCAAAGATGACAGGGAAGGAGTGGCAAGGACTTCTCTGGTTTGTTTTGATTTGTGGGGTTTTTTCCAAAGCAAATTTTAATGAAAAAATGAGTGTTGTTTCAGTGTTTTGTGAGTTCCCATTCTCTGCTGACTTCCTTCTTTTCCCACTCACATCCAGGCTGCTTCTAGTCTGGTTGCATCAGCAGACTGGCTGGGGCAAGACTGTAGCACTCCCTTTCCAGCAGGGGCTTGGGATGGATGCTCCAGGGAACCTGGGGAGGGCCCTTCGTCGCTCCCAGGGACTGGCACAATTTCTCACCAACAGGAAGCTCTTTCTGATGTCCTTGTTCTTTCTTCTCTTCTGTCAAAGTCTCTGCTGCTTTGTCGTATGTTATAGGCTGTTCTTCCGCTGGAGAAAAAACGGATATGTGTTACTGAAAGCCATTTGAGAAGATTCACCACAATTAAGCTAAAAGAAAAGTAGTAGCAGCTTTGGGAGAAGAAAGCTATGAAAGAAAGCACAGAATCAGGTTCAGAAAATTGCAATACCAACTCATGTCAAAGTACAAAAAAAATGGGCAAAGTCGAGAATTTGCTTCAGATTTTAAGAAATTACTTGTCCCAGGAAAATTTCCTGGTTTTCTCTTTTAGTATATAAGAGGGAAAAGCATGCCCATAACAGGGAGACTACCCACCTGGCACAATTAAAGTCCCCACTTCAAAGTCAAAAGATCTTAGAATTATTCTCTGGCATGGTATAAGAACCTTCTTTAGCATGTTAGAAAAAATATCAGATTATTCACCAGTCTATTTGTCTAAGATGGTTGAACCACCTTTGCTAAAATTTTCAGGTAAAAATCAGACACCTGTCATGGGAAATTTCTGTTCCAATAGCTGCATGTGATAAAACTGTAAATGAAAACATTCCCTAAAGGGAAACATCAGTCTTCCTGTGCTGGACAGTACAGTTATAAACATGTTCACAACATTAGTCCAACTAAGTAAATGTGACGCGTATTTTCTACTGATGAATAAAGTGACTACCCAATGTTTAAGGACGGGACTGGGAATTTTGAAAATCTTGCAAGATACCTGCCCATTCCAGTATCCTCAAACATTTGTCTTTGCGTATTTCTAAGTGACTGAGGCAAACTGGCTTCTCTGGTAACTTCTGCACTTAGGAGGTGCATATGGTAAATAAGACAAATGGTTAAGGATATCAGTCTTTCTCCATCAGTTCTCACCATTTGAACATTAAGTGATTCAGTTGCCATCTATAAGGCAATATTTCCTAAAATTCAGAATGGTCCAGCTGGTAACTTGTGGGCCATGGAAGCCTGTTGGGTGCTTCATGCTACCTGCTGTCTCTGAATCAGGGATGGGAGGCACATCTTGTTCATTCATCTCATCTTTGTTTAAGCACCAAACACACCCCAAGCAGTCAAACATCTGTTTAACACAAGAAGCAGAACTGCAGTTGCTGCCACAGGAGTCAACCTGGACTCCTCATACATTTTCAGTTATCCTCTTTGAATGAATAAGGACTGTCAAAGTATACTGTTGCACAGATATACATTACCCAACAGCAAAATGGGCATAACTTCACTTGCAAACCTGTGAAGGTCTATATAGATGAAAAAATCCAATATTATTCTATCAAAAGAAGCATCTGGCTTCTTCTGAGTGTGAAAGCACTATTGTAGTGTAGTTTCTCATGACTAATCTGCAAAGTGAAGGACTGAATGGTCTCTTAGCAACAATAGAAACATGGCATCTGCTGTGCACAGCAGCTTTAAACAGGCCAGAAATAAAATTTTGATTTCTCCATCTCCTTTGTCAACCACTGCTCCTGCTGGTACAAGGTGAGGAGAGATCTAATAAGGTAGGTAATCCTACTCACCAGATTCTGAAGGACAGGCAGGATGAGGATCTGCTGTCTCACACTCAATTAGATCAACCCCTTTAGTCTCCAGAGAACTGTTACACTCCTTAACAACCGCAAACTGCAAATACATACAATATGCACAAAATACGCAGAGCCCAAATTAATATAAGATGACTTGGTTTTCTGAAACCCAAGAGGCAAACTGGAAGGGCCACACACTCCAGCCACAGAACAGGGAAAAAGGTCATCCTGGCTTCAGGGATGGCCCTTCCCCTGCAGATAATTAAACATTTGAGTTGATGACAGCCCATCTTTCTTTGGAGAACACACAGTCCCAGTCCAGTAAAGAACTATCAACTCTCTTGCCTTGCAAATCAACATTTCCAGGTACAAGAAGAAAAGTTACCAAAAATCAACACTCTCCATAGTACTGAGGGCCATTTTTAAAGTGTTAAAGAGATCCACAGGAATCCAGACAGCAGGAAACCATCAAACAGAGGGAAAGAAGTGAATCTCCCTTTCTGGCTCTCAGCACCACCTCAGGTGGTTCCATCACCCCACAGTGACAGTGAAGTCAGAAGATGAGACCCTCTGGTGAAATGTGCTGAAAAGACCACGTGGGAAACAGGAAAAATAGAGGTAGAGGAAAGCCATGTGAAGCTCTGTGCTGAAATTGTACAGGGTAAAAGAGGGAAATCCAGTAAAGGGGTGCAGTTTAAAGAGCAGAGACAGGAAAGAAGAGAAAATGTCTGTAAATAAGATGTTCCAACAGAAGGACTGACAGATTTGGGGGTTCTGATGGATAACTGGTGGATTTATGTGGATAGAGCACAGATGTAGTAGGTATGCCTGTTTAGGCATCAGTTAATTTACATAAAATCTGTAGGCTTACAGCTGCTAACCCACACATGACAGACCCCCAGAGGAGATTCAGCTACACTGAGATCTGCAAAATATCTTTGGCTGTGCAAAGCAAAGGATGAAAAGTCTCAGAATAGCCAAAATCCAGGCACATGCTGAAGTTTACCGAGGTTTACATATCAGTAGGACTACCCTGACTTGTGGAACTTTAATATGAACGTGGAAAATATATGTAGGCATACTCCTAGCTAAATGTACTCTCAGCTGGCAGAACAGAAGTGAATGGAAAAGTGAATGACACTTGGACAATTTATAGGCATAGTTTCAGTATCATGGTACCGAACACTTGATGTGTGTGATAGCACGAAAGTTTGTTATGGTCTACATTAACCTAGATGGGCAAGAACAAGAAAGTCTTTGCACTCTCTCTCACCAGTCTCACAAAGGAGCAGTAGCACTGTGGAGTACCAAATGAGTGAAATTCATGAGTTCTTTACAATTACTGCATACACATCATCCAGTCCCAGTATGAAGTCCTCTGTTAAGATCATTAATGTTGAGTAGATCAACAGCACCCAAAAAACTGTTCCAGCACCTTAAGAGTTGAGGAGATACAGAGTTTTCTGTCTCCAGTGTAGTATAATCTCTTTTTTTTACATAAAGCTCTCCAATAATCCACTTGAAGTGAACATTAGAAATGGACAACTTCCCTGCTTCCACTGCTTTTTGGCAAATCTACAGTTTCTAACCTGAGTGCATTCATGCATGAAGCCCTGGTGAACTTAACAATTAATGGCAACATCAGCACAGAGAAAATCACATGCATGAAACCAGAGGAATCCATTACTGTGTAAGCAGGAATAATCAGCAAAGGGTCAGTGATTTCCTCTTCCAATCTGACACAAGCCATTTGCAATAAATTACTTTATTAATGGATTTGATATCTCCCAGTGCATGCTGAAATATAACACGAGTGTGTAATAGATGAGTAGGTTGGATTTGTTTTTGTTGATTCAGTCCATTGCTTAGCTGTTTAATTACCCCTATATTCAGCAAAAATGTCATTGGCAACTTGGATTAACTATAGGGTCAACAGCAGGTGGCAACAGAGCTGATGGGCAGCAGGCCTCCTAAAGCATGGCTCCTAGGCAATGAGCTGTTCTCAGAGCCAGCAAATGTTTCTGATTTTCCCAACCTTATGTATTTTGCAAGCTGTGGATATTGCCTCTGCTGTGAACAAATGATGACATTGCCATGATTCAGCACATTTGCTATCCAGTACCTGGAGGAAAAATACTGATAATAAAAGGTCCACCAGGGTATACAGTTGACCAGCTAAAGAACATTATGTCATAATCAGGGTCAACTCAATTCAGCACTCCCAACATATGTTGTTGGTACCACAGTGTATATGTTGAATACCACGGTGTCTTTCAGTGACTACCCAATCACAGTTCCTGCCAGACACTACCTAAACCATTTGTGAGGCCATTCTGAGAAACAAGTCTCAGACTGGGCACAGAAGTGGCCACAGATGCCAGTTATGTCACTTGTCAACTTCAAGTTCCAGTTGCAATCACCCAGAAGCGTAATGTCATTCTAATGCCAGTGAGAATCAGGTCCTTAGACCAGATTTTATGGGGCCAAATGCAGCTGAAAAAATGACAAAAGAAAAGGCCTGTACAACCAGAGCATGGTGGCATTTTTACCTACACCAGTGTAAAATTAGTATTTCATATATCCTCCCAAACTACCCGGTAAAATCCCGGTTGTTTTTCTCTACAAGGCAGCAGCTTCTAATACAGAACATTTGATTTCATCAACCCCCAAAATAAAGTTCAACATCTCAGGAAGCACAAACAATACTTGGCTTCCAAGAAGCCTTTTTTACGGAGGGCATACTTTCCTGTGAAAATAACTCTGTGATATGCCATGTCATCACATTGCCATTTCCTTAATTTAGAACACAGTTCCCCAACTGTTGTATTCAAAGCTAACAATAACACTGGCTAATGGTTGCAATACATCCAGGCAGCTGTGAACTTTGAGGGATAACAATGAGGTAAGATGAACTAGGGTTCACAGCAAAGCACTTGATGACTCTAGCAGTTATTTAATGTATTTAAGATGTGAATTATTTGATGGATAATCTCAAGTGGATCCCTAACACTCTTTGATCCTTCCTGATTCCCTTTCCACTCCACATTAATATAGTTACCAGAGACTTGTTGCTAGTAGGTGTCACGTTCTCATTGTCAGCACGGCTGTTGGCATCTCTTATCGCTTCTGCATAGAGATTCTTCTTATACAAATTTTGACTTCTGCAACAGAACAAAAGATGAAACAAATTGTTTTGCTTTAGGAGGAACAGATGATGCTTTTTGTCACCTGTTATCCTATCAGTATTTACAGAAGGGACATATATTTTGTTTTCTTTTATTAGTTTAAAGAGTGCATTACTCTTACCACAATTTCAAGTATCACACAGTGGTTAAAACAAACAGCTTGTCAAAAACAAAAGTCAGCAAGAAGTGAACAAATACTTGTTCTTTTGTGCCATTTGTAAAGGATCATTCATTAGAATGAACAATAGGCTTCATAATTTTAACTAAACCCTTCAATTTTCTTATATTATTCTATTTATAATACATTCTTATCATAAAGATTTGTTTCAGTCAATACAATGAAGAGCATTTGTGGGCGAAGCTCAGAAATAAAAGACTGACTGTATTTTTGTACACTAATGGTAGTTACAGTTATGAAAGTTGCTTCTGTATTCATCTGCACCATTTATGAAAAGCAACAGTTTCAGATGTTACTGTGAAATAAACAAATTGAAAGTCTTGAAGTTTGGGACTAAAACCTTCCAGGAAAAATGCATGACCAACAGAATTAGAGCAAAGGAAAGCATGAGTAAAATTTGGAGTTGGAAAGGCTGAGAATAATCAGCTCTAAGTGGCTAGTTCCATAAATTCAAAAATTTTTATTTTTCCGGTTAAATAGCAATCACTTATAAGGTGGTATTGAAAGCCTCATATAGGCCCAAAAGTAAAATTTTGGTTTACACTGCTTGAGATCCAAATCACTACATCGTTACTCAGTTTGCAAACAGGTTTTTTATCCTCCTAAGAATCAACTACAAAAATGAATGTTACACTCTTCAGACTCTGGAAGTCTTAGGTTATAACATCCTAACTTGGTCTATTTTAAATAAAATTTCATAGACATGTACCAAAGAAAATAGGAATTTTCCTTTTCTTTAGGAATTTTCCTTTTCTGTCTACTTAACTTTCGTATACTAACTGGGAAAGGCCATATGTCATAATCATCATATGTTGCTCCCTTCCTGAAAATACCATGTAAATACATTTTGCTTTTTTACTGGGAATATGAAAGGCCTGTGTTTCCACCCTTGATATTCTCCCAGATTCTCTATAACATATTTCTGTGTATTCAAACATTAAAAAAAAAGGTAACTGTCTCCAGTAGAGGATAAGACAGGGACTGTTAATATGAAATCAAACAGGTGTCAGAGCTGAGGGTGTATCTACAGAGCAGAATGCTGAGAAATAAGGCAAATTAGTCCATTTTGACTTTTCCTGACATCCTGAACATGCTGCTCATATTTTAGCTCTTGGATTCTGCATTGCAGCTCGCAGTGCTTACAAATCTTGAGCCTGTTACTCAAGAGCTGTAAAATCCATTGCACAGAGCTCACACACAGGCACAGTCCTTGGCAGGGTGCTAGGCTCAAGAGGATCACTAATTCTGCATCCTACTGTAGTGTCCAGAGTAATAGATGCCAGATAGACTTGGTGGGCAGGGGTGTCTTTGGGTTCAACTGAGCACAAGCAGATGGGGCAGTGAAATCTAGTTGACTGAGCATTGGCAAGAGGCAGAGAACTTCTCAGTCCTAATCCCAGTCCTACTGCTGATTTTTGTGTGGCCCTGGCCAACTGAGGTGGAGAGATTGTCAGTGTTAAATCTGTGATTCAGAGTGGGGGTTTTTGGTTTTGTTTGGTTTTTTTGGTGGTTTTGGTTTTGTTTCTGATTTTGGTTTTTGTTTTGTTTGTTTGCGGGTTTTTTGGTGGAAAAGGGTTGTTTCCTTGCTTCCCAAAGAAGATAAGAAACTTAGCATATTAAGAATAACACAATGCTGTTCTGCAGACAATAGTCATTGAACAAACCAACACAATACTTCAGTAATGTTCAGCCTTCAGTTCACACATTTTTCAGATTGGCAGGTGCAGACCTCCGGCTTCATTTCCTTCAATTAAAAGGAGATAGGCATCTCCATTTTACAGGGGAAGGAACAGGACTATTACAGACTTAATCAGCACATTTCAAAATACAGTAGATTATGTCAAAAAAAGTGGTATAGCAATTTCAACCCAAATACTGGTTTCCAGACTCCAGTTAAATAGGGATTTTAGATCAGCGGTCTAATTACGATCTAGTTATGCTAGTAATAGCTGCAGTTCAAATTCAGTCGAGCGTGTAATTAAAAAGTTGTTGCTGTGGTAAATAGTTATATTGATCAAAAGCATTTGGCAAGAAAGAGACATAAATCAGGGAGAAAGGACAAAAGAGAGAGGAAGGAAGAAATTTAATATCCTCACACCTTAAAATGAGTCATATTCTGGCTATTTTTCATGATGGAATATACGAAATATATGGGAAATATTAGAATCTCACAATTTTTCTGTTCGGTATATATCCACTGATTAAAATGTTGAATCCCAGGTTATGAGAACCAACCAGGCTGCACTTAGCTTTAATTCTGGACCTCTATCACTAGTTAATAGCAAATAAGAAACATTGGCAGCTTCTCTACTTTTATGGACTAAATATGCCAAGAAGCATTAAATAAGAACAAAAATATTAGCTTCCATAGTTAACTTCTTTTGTCACTTAACTTTTTATGTCTAGGAAAGTCTAATTTTAAAATTGATCTAAACCACAAACAAAAGTCCTGCAATGGATGGCAGGTCAGCATGCAGCAGGAGACTCTTGATTTGGTTGTTGTCTGGCTTTTTGTGTGTTTACTTTTAAATATAAATATGCATTTAAACAAGCCTCAGAGAACAGCTGTCTGCCAAGGTCATGGTCAAAAGACTGTAACTTATTAGATACTTAATACTTTCCAGTCTAAGGGACATCGATGACATTTAATTTCACATCAGACTGCGTTCTTAAATAGTGACTGTAGGGATTCTTTTATCAGAAGAAGAATCCCAAACCTGCACAATTCATTAGAGTCATGGAAAATGCCAGGGAGTACTTTTACAACAGATGTGTTTAGGCTCTCATCCCTGATTTTACTCTTTCTACTGCCAGGAAAACTGCTTTCATGTTCATTGGTGGAATCATCATTGGTGGAAGTTTGCTTTGCAAGCTTAATAAGCTATTTTTCTCAATGGCAGGAAACTTTCAGGTGCCACTCTACACTGAAAATGAAACAAAAGCACAGTAATGGCATAGGTAACAGTTAAGAGCCAAACCCTATCATGACAGTTTCAGAAATCTGGAGCTCTTAAGGGAAATGAAGGAAGAAGCAAATTGCATGCTCCTGAACTCTCTCATCAATGTAAGTTACAGCTCCTCTGCAAACATAAGGTCTATTCCTCTTCCCTCAAGACACATGTTGCTCACTAACATCAATGTGGGTTCTGCAGGAAAGGGACACGCCAGAAATTTCTGCATTATTCATACAACCAGTAACTGCAAAGCAAAATAATAGCAAGGATGATATGGTGATTTCCACCAGCCAAGGAACAGCTCACGTTCTTCACCACGAGCACTCTGTGAAAGTCAGCAGCAACTCAGCCCCTGTGCTGCACAGTCACAGCACACGTTTGGAAGCACTACCTGTGGCAGTAGGCAGCCAGGAACCCCAGCAGGAGCAGAAGGACCAGCACTGCTACACACACTGTGATGGTGATATTCCGCATCTTCACCCGCTCGGCATGCTGCTGCTCCCACCACTCCAGGTCACTGAACTGGCACCGCTCCCCAACGTAGCCTGTCACACAGCTGCCAAAGGAAATGAGCACAGTCTGTAACTGGTGGCAGTGGAAAAACTCCACGCCATCCCTTCAGTCACCTTGCATATTGATTTACCATTAGTAACTGCTACAGAAATATCCAGCTGAATTCAGTAGTGGAAAAGACAAAAAGACACTGAAGGAAGGATGTCAAAACCAGTATAATTCAATACTAAAGGTATTTTTCTTTTTTTTCTTTTACTGTTATTGAATCACCTACAGAATTATACAGAGAAATTACAATTTCCAGATTCCAATGGATAAAAAAAAAAAAAAAAGAAAAAAAATCATTTTCTCTTAAATCCTGACGCGTGGATAGCTTTTCCCTAAGATTTTCCATTTCACTGCTTCCAGCATCAAGCTCTCTTCTCTTTCAAGTAGGTAATATAGGAATTACTCATATTTTCAGAGTGATGTGGTTAAGGGAATCGAATTTTAATCTGAATCTTTAAAATGAAAGACGAATTAAAGTGTTTTCAAAAACCCCTCATATGGGTTAGAAATATCCTTGAAATTTAGTTTTACTACAAGATTCTTCTGTGGGCAGTTTTTGTTTATTTGTTTGGTTTTAACATTGTAAAACGCAACATAGAAGTGGCTTATCAATGCATGAAACCCTCGAATCAAAATTACTATAAAGTAGAAATACATCAAAAAGAATTCCAACCTAGGTTTACTATGGAAGATGAGACAATAAATAATAAATGCAAAAACAATGAAAAGTCTACTAAATTCATAACAATCTCTCAGCAACATGAGCTCAACTCCTTCTCACGATTCTTACTGGTCTTGTTTTGCTTAAGTCCAAGGGCTAGTCAAACAAGCAAAAGAAGCAGGATTTGACCAGCATCAGATTTTACCTAATGTTCTGAAATCATTGTATCTACATTCATTATTAAATCAGGCACAAGTACTCTAATTCTGTCACAATTTAGAACACATACATGCTGGAAGGCAGAAAAAATGCTAAGTTTTAACATTAGATCACAGTGAATTTCAAATATGTAGGAAGATCTACTTGCTAGTGTAAGATCTTTTATTAATTAAAATACAAATCACATTTGGTATGTGATTTCTGCTAGATATTTTACTAGATAACATTTTTCCATTACTTCCTTTTGCTAGTTAATATATTGGAGCCTACACGTATGAATGCTGCCATCTAGTGAGAATTCAGCAAGGTCAGAAGCCAGAAAGGTCCACATACAAAGCCTTGCCCCCAAGAGTGTGGCTAAGCATGGTTGCTCCTTAATTTTTTTAACCACTTCTACTTCTAGAACTGAATAATATGTGCATTTGGATTCTTATTATGAACTAGTACCTAACAAATAAAAGAAAAAAAAATGTGATCCAGTTTGAAAGTCCTGTGGGTTTGGACTCCTTAGTCTCAGTAGGAGAAATGAGGTGAAAAAAAGAAATCGTTTTCAATGCCTCTAAAATTTACACTAAAAACTCACAACAGATACTAGCAATGACCATGAGTCCATCTCATGTAATGTCTTTGGTAAGCTTAGGAAATCCATGGCACAAAACATCTACTTCATTCCCTTGTATGCATATGAGATATATTCTTCTCATATTTTTGAAGATACTGTTTGTAGGCAGGGGAGACTACTCATATTTAAAAATAGGAAATCCTAGGATGTCACACTGCTTGCAGGAATGGACTGGCACAGGGGTTCCCGCAGAGCAGTACAAGGAAGACCCAGGGGAACAGTGGGTCAAAGAAACCCTTCAGCACAAAGCTTGCTCTCCTCGCTCCAGAGTTATACCGGGACCACCTGAATTACTGAGACACAGAGGGAGATTTGCCTACTATGGAACAGCATCCATCCCCTGAGTAGGTCCTCACTTACCAGCTGAGAGCTGAGGGGAGGAGGCAGGCATTGGATTTGTCCCACTGTAAACAGGTTTATGCTTGATTTTGAAGAAAGATAACAGCACAGATTCAAATATAGTCAAGTTACAGACATGAATACCAGCATTAAAGGTTTTGAATAAATTATTAGCCAGTAGGACCAGGCTGCCACATGGAACAGGCCGAGGCTGATTTCTGGAGAGATGAGATGATTCTCCTTGCTTTTATCAGTACCTGCAGTTGGGGAACCCAGACTTAGGCTTCACAAAAATATTGAGGGAAGAAGTGGGTCTCATTTTTGAGGCCTCATTGCTACTCTCCCTGATTTTAAGAGGGTTGTTATGTTGTATGCTTTCTGCCAAGGGCCAAGACTCTTCAAACTGTAAGGGAAGATGCTGACACCACTTCTGGTCCCTGATCTCAATCAGAGAAGACAAGACAGAGATGTCCTCTTCCACCCCACCAAATGCTACACATGAACAGCAAGACCAACACGGAGGTACAAGCCAGCACAATATGTACAGGAGAGACAGCAAGCACCTCTTTTATAAGACCATGAGTATCAAGTCATTTAACAGCTTACCTCCCATTTCCAAAGCAAAGAATCAAGTCCTTAGGGAACAAATCCAATCCTACTGTTAATTGCAATGGGTGTGAACAGAATGGCCCCATACTGAAACTCACAGTGATCACTTACAGAAAAGAGGAGAGTCTAATTCTAATTGCTAGAATGGGTGATGAACAAATAATATGGACAATCTCTTCACTGTCTGCACTTAATTAAGGGTAGCACAGTAAGGGTGCCATTCATTAGAACAGAAAACACAAATATCTGTACTTACTTGCAGGCATAGTCTTGTAGATCAGAAACATAATTGCACACTCCACCATGAAGGCAATATGACTCGTACGAAGGAGGGCATCCTACAATATCACCTTGCACGGCGTGTGTAGAGTATTCATTGCTGACAACAGTTGGGGGAACGGTAGATTCTGAAACAGAGGATTTCACAAGGATGTTTCAAGCTTTTGGCCACATTGGCAATGTGATCTTACAAAAGAGTTCCAGAACTTCAAGGTGCAAATGTAGGTAAAAATATCTAATTTCAAGTAATTACTTGTGTCTTAACTATTTGCTTATGTTGTTATCAAATTTAGGCACATGGAAATTGAGATCAAATTACTAAATATGTTTGGTTTTAGATTTGCAATGAAAGAGCCACAGACTGAATTCTGTCTATTTAGGTGTGTGAGTCCAGCTCTGAGGAGAAATTGCATCAACTTGTCTAGGTGCTTTTACTTAAGTGATTTTTACTACTTACGCAGCTGTGGGGTATGGTAAATCTCCACCATGCATAAAGTACCAGTCAGAGGGCTAGCTCAGCTACAGATAGCGATATCACTGGGGAAGCAGGGAGCCCTAGGGACCCAGTTCTCCAAAGGGTTCTGTCGCCTGCTCTGAATCACAAATGCTGTCACCTACACAGCTATCCAAAATAACTGGTTTGAAAAGTAGCACTAAGATCTCTGCACAGCATGACCTACAGTGCAGACATACTCTTACAGAAAAGTAGTGTTTTCTTGCCTACACTGATAATACATCGAATCTATAGGTCAGAACAAAACAGTCACATGGCAAAGAATTTCTGTCGGTATGGCTTAGAAGAAACATGCCTAATGGCTTTCATACTATTATGGGATCAGTTTTATGCCACACACTGTTTTTATTGCAACATGACCTTCAATGACATTTGTTTTTTAAAATTTAATTTGCAGGGGAACTGCCATGGAAAAGAGCCTGAATAGAAAAGGGATGAGTAAACCCCAGGTGTGTGTGGATTCTGCAAAGAAAATTGCATCTTGCTAAAATTTCTAAAAGAGCAAAACCCATGAAGACATGTGATCAGGCTGACAGATGAGGGACCTCGAAAGCATTACTTCCAAGTCATGCATCATTTTAAATCATCATTTTCTGAGTGACACCTGAAACTACTGAAAGCTTAAGTAACTGAAAAGATGTTCTATTTAAGAAAGATATAATTTCCTTCTGTTTTTCTGCAGAAATAGATTTGTGACAACCACACAGTGTCCCTCCATCATCAGACAGTCACTTCATTTGAAGTAAAATTCACCCTGGCTAACAGGGTTAACACAGAGTAAGGCAATGAGTCACTTAGCTCCACATTTCCCAAGAATGCTGCTGCCACACGGAGGCACCGAAATGAGGGTCAGATAGTCACTAGTGCTGAACCTTCAGCAGCTCCCTGCAGCAAATAGGTAATCAGATTTTCTGAAGAGTTTTAGAGCCCTTTTGAAAAATTAGTGACTGGATCTGAAAGACACGCTTTTTCTGAAGAATCAAGTGGGACTTGAATAATATGCAGTTTCTGTGCTAGACTTCTGCGGAGTGAAGGAAGGTACAGGGCATTTGAAAAATGACTCAGAAATTACCTTCAAAAATGTTATTTCCAAGGAATTTCTGCTGTTGATTGTAAAGGCCATTAGATAGATTGGTTGTTACATTCAGACACTGAACGCTAATGTAGATATTTCCAAACTAAACTCAGATCTAGTCTCCTTAGTCCACCTCAAAACAGCCTCCTAAAGCAATGCTAGATGCATTCACCATCTGATTGGTACATCACTATACATGGATACCCTTAGTTTCCAGGTAGAACAATGTATCCACAAACACAGTTCTTAATGTAGGGCCATTTCATTTTATTTGCTCACTCCATTTACTCACTGCAGCTGATGCCAGTTCCAGAAGCAGGATCAGCACACGAGCAAGTGAAGTTTCCTTCTGTATTTATGCAGGTCATGTTCTCTCCACAGGTGTGGGACCCCGTCTTGCACTCATCAATATCTGTCACCCAAACAGTCTGCAGTTAGAAGAATGAAATGACTCAGAGCATCAGTTAAAGGGGCAGCAGAAGGGTCTGGGAGTGGGGAGCTGCCCACCCCTGTACCATCCACTTAGTTCAGCCTAAACAAAAAGTTTAGGCAGAAGGAAAGGGTCTAGAAACCTACAGGTTTATTCAGTTTGTGTAAACACTTCAATGAGTGAGGATCTGAATTACTGTGAAAAGGCTCACTGATTACAAGACTCAGGCTCAGACCCAGTGTTAGGCTCATATATACCTCTCACCTCCATCCTACTGCACACCCTCACCCTGCCTCCATGCCTTCTCTAGCAAAGCCCATGGCAGTAGCTCCTGCCAGGCTGCCACCTGCATGTTCCTAAGTGCCTAAGCACGCCCCTCAAAGGTGGGACCTTTGAAAGGGTTCACATACCAGAGTCTGGCAGCCTCAGATTCATTTTATGAACTGTCAGCAGAATACATGTGCCAGATCTACTTCGGGGAATCACAGATCTACCAGCCCAGTTTTTGTGAAATGATTGCTTAAACCACTGGGACTTTTTCTACAGTAAAATTAACGGGATATGGCTAAAAACAGTATAGAAATGGAACGTAGGAATGCAGGAATGCACTGAGAATGCAGGAAAGCATCTAAAAGTACCAAGCCACTTAACAGTTTCTGGGTTTCATAGTACATTTCAAGTCATCAAACACAAAATAAGTTCCAGTTCTGCTTACATCATAATAATATTGTATCTTTTATAAAATGCTGTGAATTTTACTATTTTCTGGATTTAAAGACTTCAGGAAGATAATAGATTGTTTTTCAATAATAGTGGAAGGTAACACAATCCTTCTAGCTGTGCTACTATACCACAGACAGAAAGGGTCCAGGGCTGCCTGAGGGCATGCCTTCTATAGGATGCTGGGACAGAAAGAGGAGTTTGTCTCTTCTGTGTACACTTTCATCTCCACTTCCAAACATCCTCAAAGACATGACCTCTGTCTCTGACCATTGTAGGCAAAAGACCTTCTCGAATCTTCTGCCTCTGATACTTTCCAAACCCTGCCCATAATAATGATATTGTTCCTAATTTTTTAGCCATCCTAACCAGTGTCGAAGAACCAAAGTCCAGTAAAGATTATATAAGAATTGGTTCAAATTTAATGGTTTTGAATTAGGCCATAAGGGAAAAAAGGAAAAAGGAAAGGACAGAAGAGAAGCCAAGACTCTCATAAAGCTCTGAACAAACTGTGTGCTAATCAAATACTGGAGTGATAAAGCTTCCTGTTCATATTTACTGCTAAAATGGATTAAGAATTTAAGAGATGTAAAGGAATGAACTAGAGATCTGGCATTAGAGCTGGATGGGAAAATCAGTGGGTCTGATTATTAACAAGACTCTAAATGTACTCAAGTTGTCAGTGTCACACCTTGAACCTCATGCCTATTAAACAGACCTGGAATTATTTGATGAGTATTATGACACACTCAATACCTGCTTTCGTTTATATTCATGGCAACGATTTCCAATAAAGCTCTACTGCTTCACCTCCACTTCCCTCCTCCCCTTCACTCTTCCTCTCTCTCTCCTTCTATAGCTACTAAAAAGAGTGCAAACAATGAGAGAAGATATTCACTGACAACTACAGGCTTTGCATATTGATCAGTTGCTGAGGTTACCACACTTCAAACAGGGAGGAAAAAAATCAAAAAGGCAGAAATGATAAATGTCAGCTGTCTAAAGAAGCCACTGTTAGTATCCATGCCCCTACCAGATTATTCAAAATGAACCAGAACAGCTCAGACGACAAGCTTCACAGCTTGTTGGAAGGCTAGCCCTTATCATAAGATAACACCTCTTGCTCACTCATCCTGTCCCAGCCTTCCAGACACAGCAGAGCCCTCACACATGCCCATACCGTAGCAATGGATTCCATCCCCAGTGTAGCCCTCCAGGCATTTACAGACATAGCTCCCTTCCGTATTGATGCAGCCCGACACGTTTCGATCGCAGCGGTCCATATTTACAGCACACTCATCAACATCTGTGAGACAAAACAAGGGGGCAGGACACGTGGGTCATGAAACCATCAAGGAAATCAATTAAAAGAAACATCTGCATCATGAATCTCCCTCAGACTCTGCTGTCGCTTGTCGTTTATGCATCTGAGGCAAAATCAAAAGAGAATGACTTTGTGGTCTTTTTTGGTATGAAATTTGAGGGGTATGTTCTAAAGAACCTAAGACAGTCAACTGGAGACCTAGAGGCCCCACAAATACCACTTTCTTAAAAAAAAAAAACTATTTGAAGGAAATGAACCAATTCAAAACAAAGTCTTACATTAAAGAATCCTTTACAATGAAAAAGACATGTAAGATCACTGAGAAACTTTGTTTTGTGAAAGAACACATAAGCTTACATTTTTTTTCCTTTCTATAGCAACATAAATGCCTTTTGTCTTCATGCTTAGCCACCAAGTGGGTTTTTTTTTTTCCCTTCCCAATACCTTCTTCTCCTGCCCTTTATGAGAGGACTAAGTTCTTTCATTTATGTTGCATGCAAGTCCCAAAATTTAAAGACCACCCTAAGCAATGTGTTGTATGGTTGTTAATCCCTTTCTAGTGCTAGAAAAAAAAAAAAAAGGGCAGCACTTTTATATAAACATTACATCAGGAATACTAATTTTATAAGAGATTCCTTAATACAAACTTCTAAATTGTACATCATCTATCATGTCTATGGAGTGAGCTTTTATAATTGCGTAATTTTTACAAATGAATACATGATGTTTTTATTCCTATTATCCCCATTATTTCGTGTTAATATCATTAGGATTAACTTCCATGACTCAGGGGAAAACCAGGCATGTGGCAATTAGCCATTTCAACTCATGCTCTCTGCTCATCATCCCTTTCCATACTATTGACCTTTCTGTCATGGCTCACACAGCAGAGCTGCCAATGTGAAAGAAGATAGATTTTCTTCCTCTCCCACAGCCGACAGTTTTCCAAAAGTTATATTAATGTCTTTTGTTACCATAGCATGAGTTCCCCTTCCTGGTAAATCCTTTCAAACACTGGCACACAGCACCATCTTCCAGCAAAACGCACTCTGCATTGACGTAACATTCTAGTGCAGTGCAGTCATCTTGATCTATAGCATAAACAAAGAAAAAAAAAAAGGCACTAGATCAAAATAGGTACTGTATATATATCAAAGAAAACCAAAAACAACCTCCCCCCCAACTAAACAAACAAAAACCTAAGAAAACCAGAACATACAATCAAAGTTTGAAACTTAGCTCTCCAGGATTATTGATGACAAGCCAATACAATCATTAGGGCTGTTCTCTTTGTCTAGATGGAGTTGATGTATCATTTAGTATAAGGATTTCTGAATAACGTATTCAAAACCCAGCAAGTTTAATGATCTAGTGTCATCAAACGTAGGTAGAATTCAATGGTTTTACTTCAGTTTTGTTCAGAGGTGCTTAATAGACTTTAAAAATCTAAGGGAGAGACTTTCCCAAGTGTTCCAAATTAGAAATGTTTGTTCTCTAGACAGGATAGTATTATCCTTTTTTTTTTTTTTTGACATAGCAAAGGAACATGGAGACAAACAAACAAAAAAAGCAGTCCTACCTGGCATAGCTGCATAGACCCAACTTCTTGTAAGAAGGTTAAGAGGCATGAATGCCACCAGTCTTGACACTGAGCTTTTCTTCATTTAAGGTCTATGATTTCTTTCTATTCTATAAAACTGTTCAGAGCCTCACAGTAAATATAAGGAAGGCAGTCAATCAGACTCTACCTGATACCATGATTTCAGCCATCAAAAAAATGGTTTCCTGCTTTTGCCCACTGTCCATATCCTTAAAAATCCCATTACTCTGTGTGTTCTGGAGCGTGATCTCTGGTGGTAGCATTGGAACTACCTCCTTGTGCACAGAGACACTTCCTGAAAAGGACAAGAAAAAAATCACACAGACTATTTAAATCTACTGAACTAACCTTCTGGTTTTCTAACCTCCTGTCTACTTTCCAATAATCATGGTGGTTTCCTTTTAAAATAAACATCTGTATCCTCTCAGACTAGCCTGTTTCTGACCTCAAGTAATTCCTGAAACCACTCACTGGTGGGTTTCCTCAAATACAAAAGAGAAGGAACATGACATACCGCTCACAACAGCTGTCAGCACTCCACACTTCTCTTTCACTGCTAAAATACCAAGGGTAAAAATTACCATGGTCAGACGTGTCCCAGGACAACACCCCACCATTCCTTATGTTAGAGCAAGGTGAATTTTTTCAGTGCTATCTGTCAGGATCCTCAAAGATTTGAGGAGGGTCTTTTTGGAACTTTTTGTACCTTCCGTTGAGTTGGAAGAATCCAGAGCATGACAGGCTTTTCCGTCTTGACTTTTCCCAAATCCTGGATGGCACTTGCAATGCACAATTCCAAAATTGTTTTCACAGATCTGATCACAGCCTCCGTTCTGATAAAGGCAAGGATTCGCACCTAATGCAGAAAAACAGGAAACCTAAGAATCTACTTCTCTAGTCAGCATCTCCATTTAGTGCAAAGCTGGGAAAAGGACTAAGGACTGACAAAAACTAGAACACTTTTTAAAATTCTTTATTTAACAACAGATGCATATAGTAAAGCATAGATATTATCAGCCTCTGGCAGGAAATCAGATTCATATACTCTGTATCTAATATATGTGCCACATTTTTTATTATTTTATTCACTTTATTATTTCTCCTTTAATATTTAGAGTCCTAACATTCCCTGAAAGAACATTACAAGAGCATAGGGAACCTGTGATTACCTTCTCTAAATCCTGGTCTACTAAACTACTTTTTTCGCTTACAGGGGAATTGTTCCAAACAGAAAATCAAATTATTTGATCCAAAACTAATAGATCTTACAAAATCTTTCTCCATGTCGTTTGTTATTATTTGTGTGTGAGAGGAGTGCTAATAAACTAGGACAAATAGGAATTTAAAGACTGTGTAGCCTCGTGGCAATTGACCAGCATCTATTCTTGAGCATGAACACAAACTTATAAAATCCATCAGCATTCCTGGGACACGTGCCCAGATGATGCTTTCAGTAAGTGCCAGTCTGGCCATGCAAGGCTGATTTCTGAGAAGACAGTCATCTCCCCAAGGACATCTATTCTACTGACATCAGTGAACAAGAGGAGGCTGGAAGGGAATGACTGCTTAGCTTTTGCAGTGTACCTGGTTTCGCCAAAGGTTGCACTACAACCATTGATGAGGGTCTCAGCATGCTGCCTCGAAGACGTACCCTGTTTTGGCCGGTCTTCTTATCCACCCTCATTAGTGATGGCCTAGCCCAGTCAGAAAACCAAAGGTGGTCCTCAAACACTGCTACAGCAAAAGGGTGGCCTACAAAGACATTAGATTTATCATTTCCACATTTGCAGAACATAAACAAGAAACCGTGTAAACAAAAGTACTGTCTGCATACAGGTCGGCTTATAACACAGGGGAATAGCCACAGTAGTTCTTCACTTTGTTTGCCCTTGGGCAGGGATAAGTGTCTGTGAATGATGGACCATGGGCACATGTTACTTATGCTCTTAGCAAAGGAGGTTATGACAATTGCCTGGCTCAGTACAGTCTCTATACTTCTGGTGACCTCCAGTAAGATCAAGTTCACAAAATCCTTCTACCTCAGACACCATCATTTCTTGAGGCAGCATTGGACCAGCCTTTCACAATTGAAGTAACTCCCTCCTCTGCCAGTAAGTGGCCCAGCACAGCTGCTGAGGTACAGAGCTCCTTTTTCAATCTTCACACAACAAGGAGAGGAATTCACGTCATCTGTCATCTTGCATAAGTGTACTCATACAGGGCAGCCTGGGAGCCACAGACACTGTATCCACAGACCCACAGTTGGACCCCAAACCCAGTGTGTGGTCTCTGCAAGTGCCAAAAGCACACACAAGTGCAACACAGTGGGCCACATGTGCATGTAGCCAGCTAACAAACAGAAACAGCTAACACAAACCACAGGAGGCAATGGATCATCCAAGTAGCTTCCTCTCTTTTCACTGATGACAACAGGATGCTAAACAACAGCTCCAACCAGGCATCTAACACGACTAGCAGTAGGTGTGAGAAATTCCACCCCAAGTTCAGAGTATAGGATCTTTTCCTTGGTAGCACATTATCTGCACTAGGAAAACTCAAATCCCCAATTTGACTTCCAGAGATAAGTTCAGCAATTCAGAATCCAAAGGACACTTTCATGTATAAGGGCAGACACAAAGACCTTTACAAAATGATTCTGACTCTTTTTAATGTCTCTCTCATGATAGGAAATTGTCATTAGTCCATATGGGACTATACACTCTTTCTGTACACTTAGAAATCTCCAGTTTTCAGATTAGCCTTTGGGGAAGCTTTTTGCAATGGAAGGTAAGAGCATATACTATTCTTCCATGGATATCCACTAGGTTTCAGTGGGTGCTTCCTGGCTTAAGCAGGTTTGATTTGTGCTGGCCCTTCCTCACAGCTTGCATGTGCACCACACCATAGTGTTGCAGTCTGAGCCCCCTGAAAGGTATGTATTTGTAGGCACGTGATTTTTATGATCTGTGTTTTTGCTTTTTGATGTAGACCTCAACTAGGTGATGTTTAATTTCAGTAATGAAACTGGGACCCCAAAATGTATTAGTTTAAAAAAAATAAAAAGGCAAAATCAAAGCTAAGCAAACAGGAAAACAAAACAAAAGATAAATTAGAACCTTGGAAAAGGAGTATGTGTTGGTATATCTTAAAAACACCTTGCAAATAAACTGAAAAAAACCACTCTTATATAAAAAAAAATCTCTAAGACACTGTTTAAGTGTTCTTATGTGTTAAGTTGAAGAGCATACTGTTGGCACTTCATTACCTCCACGGAACCATGCCTAATCACTGGTCTTGGTTCTTAGCTTTTCTTTCCATTAAATTTGAGCAACTAGCCCAAGACCTAGATACTGTCCCCACCCAAATATTTGCTCATAGTTTCAGGATCTATACCTTGCACTTTCCACAAACAGCACTGTGCTTTGATCAGCAATTCCTTAACCTCTTAATTTACAAATACATTAAAGATTAAAATTAGAAGCATGGTGTCAATCGACAGAGATAGCAAGAACAAAAAAACAAACAAACAAAAACCCCAAAAAACAAACAAACAAACAAACCAAAAACAAAAACAAAACCAAAAAAAAAAAAATCTCATGAACCTTTTCCAGAGCAGTGCAAACCCAAATTGTTGCATAAACAAAAGGAATGGTTGTATTGTTTGTTGCCTTGGGCAGGTGCTTACAGGCTGTTTTACTTACAGCTGAAAACGGCGTTAGCAGAAGAGCAGAACTAATTTACCTATTTTGCATCCCGCAGTGCTGAATGAGCTCTCAGTACCGGAGCACTAGAGGGAGCTGCTGTAATAAAAATTCGCATTACAGCAGAAACGCCTATGAAGAGGTGCCACCTTCCCATCCTCCAGTGTATAGCCGTCCAAGAACAAAAGTTGAATTCTAGTCTCACTAAAAGCATTATCAAAAATTCCTTTTCTCCCACCTCAAAACCAGCTGTATCACTGCTCCAAGCCTATCTCTTTTGTCACAGTCCATGTTTCTACAGTGCTCCTAACTCTCCTTCTCTCTTTTCTCCTTGTGGAGGAATGAAGTGAAACTTCGTTGAGGCTTCAAAGCCCTTCTTTGCAGATCAGTTGCAAGGCAGAGCACACAGCAGACCATGCGCAGCAGAGGAAAGAGAGGAAGGCTGTAAAGTCACTCTGCTGAGGCCTTTTGAGGTCTTCTGAACTGAAGAACAGTGATTCGTCCAAGACCTCACTCTGCTCAAGCCATAACAACTACCAGCAAACTGTATTAATCATTTTTCCATTTGATATCTATTTTGTGTTTAGAATCTTTCCAGTGTTCAACATTGCAGATGCAGGTTTGCTGCTCTAGAACCTTAAAAATAATGATTAATTATCTTTCAGTTGATGTCAAAATAAATAACTCACTGATACAATAAACACAGCAAAACCTAAATTAAACTAAGCAGCCATGCATGAAACAAGCAAACCACATTTTTAACTTTTTTCCTTATTTTCATTTTTCTGTGAAGGCACAGAAATCCTCTGCGCAATGCAAAGCAACTGATTAGTAAAAGCAGAGAGTGTTAGAAAGACATACTTTTGCTAAAATGGATAGAAGTCAGCTGGGTAACAGAATGAAGAACAAAAGTGAGGCCATAAACCTCAACACAGAGTTGTATGGGAAATACAGCACAGCTTCTGGCCTATAATTTGCATGCACATATGCAGGTACACACATAGACTGACAAGCAGCAGTAGGTAATTATCAATGCCAAAACCTCACCTACATCATTCTGTGCAAGAATTTGACGACCAGAACCATCCAGATTTGCGCTCTCAACCACTGACTGCTTAGCATCACACCAGTACACTTTGCCTGCTAAGTAGTCAAGAGCTATTCCACTGGGCCACACCAGACCAGTGCTGGCTATAACCCGACGATCGATGCCTTCTAATGAAGAGCTGTCAATCCGGGGATTGACCCCCATGTCAGTCCAGTATAATCTCCTTTGGAAAACAAAATGAATACGGGAAGTCAGTAAGCAAATGTTTGTCCTCCTCTCCATGGAGTTCTTTCAAAGCAGAAAGGTCAGATCAGAGCAACGCAGCCCTGAGTCACAGGAGGAAAAGTGCGCGCATCAAGCAAACATATTGGCTTCTGGTCATTTCACACTTGCCATGAGACTCCAGGTGATTACATTGGGACTTATGCAGAATCCTCTGTTCACTGGCACAAAACCTTTGAAAAACAACACCCACCTATGCTAATTGCCAGATCTTTATAGCTGCTTTTTGATTTTCCACATGACAGCTGATAGTGGTTTAGCAAACCCAGACAATAGAAGACAATGCATTAGCCAGCATCTTGTCTAAACAATGGTGTAATAATACACAAATGCAACCAAAATTATCCACTACCCGTGGAAAACAAGCAAGAGTACACCAGTTATTTTGGTTTTAAAAAATAAACCACTATATTTTCTTCTTTTAATAAAATCATGACTGTCAGAATCTCCCTCTAAAGTCCTGTGTGTTACTCACTGAGTGCTTACTGTTTTTCAACAAACAGAGAGTGCTAGATGGCAACTTAAAAATGGGGATACCAAAACTGCAAATTACTTCTGAAGTTTGAGCTCTAGTCTTCCCAGGCATAAGTTGCCTCTGTCGGGTTTACTGAAATAACCCACAGATTCATTCAGCTTTACTTAACAAAGTAGTTTCACTGTAGCCAACACAGGTATCAGTATTTTCAATAGTCTTAATTATGTTTCAGATCTCTCTTCAATATTTACAACTATTGACATTGGCATAATTTCTGTTCATCCTTTCACCATTAACTTTCTAAAAATGAAGATTTTAGTGATGTTTCTTCTTCCCTTTCCCCTTGTACCCTTTGCATCTACCAATAATTCTAATAAACAATCCCCCAGAACCTACTCATTCTACAAAGTTTTCCTGCAAAATGTCTCTATCATGTTCAACCTCTATCAAAAAATTCTTTCAGGTCTTTTATGTCCAAAGGAAAACTAACAAAACACCCTCTCCAACTTTGCTTCATTCCTTGATTTGTGGGTACTTAGTTATAGCAGGACATGAACATTAAAAAAAAAAAATTTTAAAAAAATCTACAGATTTAAAATGCTCCTACTACAGACAAATGGAGTGAAATCCATGGACTTTGCCATTGATTAAAATGGATGGAATTTCATCAAGAGTTTAAACAGCCAAATCTCCTGTGATCAGCTCAACATTAGTTAAGAAGATATAAGGTGCATTTAAATCAACAAACCTCCACAACAGTAGATAAGGTTTAGTTTCCTAAGAAACTGAACTGTGGCCAAAAAACTACTTTGTAAGTACTACTGGTTAAAAGTGACTACCTTCTTTGCACTAATTGATGTGGAACCATCAAAGTTTGTAGTGTGGTGCTTACAAACTGTCAGAGTGACTCCAGTTGCTCATGCAACTTTAGCTTAAACTGCATACAATATCATTAAAGCTTCTGTTTTTTTCTTTTAAATCTGTATGAGCAATGAACATGTCCCAGCTCAGAAAAAGAAATCCAGCAATGAAACAATGCAGTTCACAGAACTCTGCAAGGCAATGACTAACCTAGCAGGAGACTAATGCACGTCTTGACTGCCAAAAGGGCAAGACTGGCATGGTCATTTTTAAAAACCCTCCCCAAGTATTACATGATTAACTGCATTTTTCATTCCTTACTTAGCAAATGGGTGAATGGCAATCCCTCGGGGCTGGGAGATATCCTCCCAGATGATCATTTTTCTCTGCATTCCATTCAGATTGCTCCTTTCGATGAGTGCCTTCCTGCAATACACAGGGCATGGTTAAGTCCTCCCTGCTATCTTTTTAATTACCTTCTCAGGCAGAATGTACTGAGATTTTGCATCACTTTAGTTTAGCTGTAATAAATAAATTTACAATGACAGAAAATAATCCTGCTGATAGGGGGAGTGCACTTGTTTTATCAACCAGTAATTTAAGTTACAGACTCATTATTTGGTCCAGGGTATGATAAAATACCTGCTGTTCTGCAGGAGACATTAAGTTCTCCTTCTCTGGGCAAATAATGAGTTGGAAGTATGATCACTAATAGATAAATGTTAGTTCTAAAGGGAGCCAGGAGGAAAACCAGCTCCTAACCAAATGCCATTATCAAATGTATAAAGAATTTTTTTAAATGCAGCATTTTTCATCCAGAAATCCCCAATCATTTCACATCTATTTTGCAGGAAAGAATGAGGCTAAGGTTCTTAAGATCACTTCGTAAAATCCATGGTCAAGTATAGAATCTATTTTGCTGGTCTTCCAACTCACCCTTTTTCCAGAAAACTGATTTTATTGCTGCAACCTTCACTTTGCCAGACAAATACCAACCTCTACCTGAAAGCAAGCCTACAGCCTTCCGTGCCTATCTAAAGCTTCAAAGAAAGGCCACACAGAGATGGAAGGAGAAATATATTCCTTCAAATATGCAATACAAACAGGTAAATGCAGTGAGTGAAAAGGAAGCTACCAATTCCATTTCTCAGATTCCCCCTGGACTGTTGTCTTACAGAGACAAACACTATAAATTTCTATTTCACAAGAAATATTGGCATATTTCTACAGGAACACAGTCATGTAGACAAGACTGCACCTATTAGCAAGGAAGTGGACTAGCAGCATATTTATAAGGGAGGAGGAGGGTGATCTGAACATTCAAAATTACTTTCTATTGACTAATGAATTATGGATCATACTGAAACATCATGACTGCTCTTCAAGGAGTCTTCATTGTGTGTTTTGATCCGGCACTGCCTTTTCAGCAAAGGTCAGTTTTGTTTCTCTCGGCATACAATTTTAGGTGTCAGCTGAAATTAAAGTCATACTGTCATTCCTCTTTTAGCAGAGATAATTGACAAAGACTCTCCAATAGCTTAAAGGGGCATGATTCTAGCTGCCAGTAACACTGACTTCTGCCCAAGACATACTTGATACAGTAATATTCTTTTTTATATATAAAGATATACCTATATATGCACACACACATACACAGAGTGTATATATATAAATAAGACTGTAAACATATATTCACATGCACATGTGCACATACATATATGTATATATGCAGTACATGCTTTAGATTCCTTGCAACTGAATCCAAACCCTTGCTTCTTGGAAAGACAAAGATAAAAATACAATAGCAGACTCAAAGGGAACTTCCAGCATTTCAGTTTTAAAGAACCTTCCAACTGTATATACTTGAGATTAAAACTACCCAGTCAGAATGTGAAGCACTACTGAATTAGAGTGATATCTCAGCTATTTCTGTATCACCAGTCATTTATTCCAAATATTTTATGGCATGCTTCAACATAAATGCACTGTGGAGCGTGTACCCTCTGTCTGTCCAATACAATTTACGGTTAATCCAGTCCACAGCAAGGCCTTCGGGTGTGTCTATAGCTTCATGAACAACTTTTTCACGGTTTGAGCCATCCAGATTAGCTCGTTCTATCCATTTCAAGGCGGTGTGAGCAAAGTAAATCTGTAAATAAAAAACAGGTGAGGTGTTATTAGTTTCCATCTCACTTTCTACTCTACTCCCCTTGTCTAGTAGTTCCACTTCTAAAACAACTTCTTCATCTTGAAAGCTTCCTAAACTGTTTATTCACAAAAAGCTGCACAGGTAACCTGTGATCCCTGACCGAATAAAAAGGCATTTGTCCTTCAACCAGAATGACTTCTACAGGCAGCTTGTGCTTAGCTGTAAATCCTAGCTGCCCTATATACAGCCCTCTGAATAGCCTGTGGGTTTGTTTCAGCAAGGAGCTACCTCACATGAAGCACAGCTGAGGAAGCAAAAAGAAATGTGTTGTTATTTCCCTGGCTGCTCATGTTGAAAAGGGAGAAGCAGAGAGAAGGTAGTAACAGTCTATATGTGTCAAGGAGCTGGGAAGGGGAAAAGGAGTTATATAATTTGCTTCTATTTTTTTATCTCTTTCAGCCTGCAGCTACTTTAATTTTTTACCAGGTGTCTATTCTGTAAGGCTCTAAAATTTCCAGAAGAGGCTTCTTAGTTTTGGGTTGAAAGAAAGGTTCTCTGCTGGTGGGGAAACCAGGCTTGTGGTTTCCAAGGATGAGGAAAGAAAATTTGTCTTGTATTCAATACCCAGAGGGAGTTATACACTGTATGGCAGAACCATATTAAAAAACAATGCTGAGGCTTTCCTTGGAAATGGTAACAGCAAAACAAATAACTTTGTTTTGATGCTAATTACAAGGTCAAACAAAACAGGAAGGAGCCTCTAGCATTAAACCAGCTAGTTTAATACCATGGGAGCACAAAGGGATGCTTCCTTGCTGCTCTGCTCTTCACTGACCAGACCAGGCTGCTGCAGCCTGGCAGCCCCCCTGCATGTCCCCTCACCTCTGTACTGCCCACCCCAATGCCACGCTGAGCTCCCCACAGGAGGAGAACACGGGTGCACACCCAGTGTCACCGGGGCAGCTGATTTACATTTGGCACAGCACAGAACAACTGCCAGTGCTCCAGCAGGGCCCTATTTCAGGAACAAGTGGCGATGTTCCAGAAGTGCCTGAAAGGCTCCTCCTGTAAATGCAGATCTGGTAACATTTACATTTGTTTAGTTGTGTCCATCTGGGCCTTGAGATGCTTCCAACAACTTATCAGAGCTCATCATCAACTTTCACTGTACCAAGCAGTATTTCTTTGCAACACTTTTACATGTAAATAAATCTTATCACAGGCAAATATAACTATCTGCCAGAGAAGGTTTAGCAAAGCCCAGCTGAACTCTTGTTATTCCCAACTCCAAAGGCAAGGAGTAGGGTGGAAAGGTACAGCCACACAGACAAACAGCTCTTTCTGCAGGGAAGAGTCCTGTTTCCCAACAATATCTTTCAGCAATATCTTACACATGAGGAGTATATTTTGTAAGAGCAATAAACTCAGTGAGCATACAGTAGTTTTGCTGAATAATGTCAGGACATGGGAAGTAATTTGCGTTAAGATTACTCCTACATTTAGTAGGGATCAAGGTATTTACCTGTACAGAAAAAAAGATACTATTGCTTTTACCGCTACACAGCAAAAAAAATCCCACAATGTATTTCCAGAAAACAACACTGCAATCTTAATGGAGAGAACTTATCAATCACACAGTAGTTCTTTGAAGTTGAAATCTTGCCCAAAGCGAATTTAGAAATCCAAATTCTCTGTGAATTATCATTGTCAATGTACAAAGCACATTCAATAAGTGTGTAAAAGATGAAATTGTTCAGCTAGTGTTTGGCAGCTTGTACCAATTGTGCTCCTAGACAGGCAACAGAACAACTAGCAGTGCAACGTGTAATCCAGATCACTGACAGCAGAAAGGTTAAGGCACATAAAAGCTCAATCCATTTGTCCTTGCAACACTTCAAAATCCTCTCATTTTTAATGCCTTACCTTATTTTCCACTGGGTCAGAGTCCAGTGCTAAGACTATTCCCATCTGCCAGTCAAGTAAACTTGTATAATCTGTTCCATCAAAACTGATCTGGCGGATATCTTGGCCATTTGCGAATAACAAAAATGGCTTAGGACCTGTTGATGAAAATTTGCCAGTATGTTAATTGCACTAGTTTCAAAGTAATGGTAAAAAACAAAATGAGGAACTGAATCACAAAGAAATTATGGCAATTTTCTTCCATTCCACTTGCCTCAGAAATTGAAGATAAATGTGAATATAAATTTTCAGCATCAGCCTCAAAATTTTTGATAAAGGCAGTCACTAGCCCCACTGTGTTTCACACTGAGTGACTAAGCCTCAAAATCATCTCTCTGCATTTCACATCATCACCATAAATGCCAGAACACTTGACTTTTGCACATGGGAATCTTTCCCACTAAAAGCAAGAAAAATGCTGTCCTCCAAAATATAAAGCTCTTCCCTTATTCCTGAAACAAATCACAAACTTCTTTTTCCTCCTCTCTCTTGGACAATTGCTTATACCTTGCTGCTCACCAGGTTCTTAGAAGGAACAGAAGGGTCTGAAACCCAAATGTGCACAGCAAATACCTGGGCTTCCTGGGGCTAGTGGAGGAGAAATATCCTTGTAGGAAAAGTCCTTCAGCAGACTATTTCCCATCCTCTTTTCCAAATGTAGGGACCTCAGCCCGAGTTCTGTAAAACTTGGCAGAAACTATGCCCATATTTATTTAAAGGCACAAAAATCTGCACATTCAGGATGGACCTCTGCTGTAAGGGGGCCCACAGCGAAATGCTGAAGCTTGATCATAGATTGAACCTTTTGTAAGGGAGACTGAACCATATACTGGCGCTTACTCTGCTTTATTTCCAAAACAGGTTATCTTTCCTAAAAACTAATACTTCCCAAGTTTCACAAAGTAACCTAAAACCAGTGTAAAAAGGGATCCTTGTTTTGCCATCTGCTTTAAAGGACTCAAAAATGGGTTTGCTTTTATTGGTAGAAATATGCAGGCACACCGAGACACCAACCTATAGCTGTGCAGTGCTTTCTGTCTCGCTGAAGCTTATATCCAGGAAAACAAGCACACTCCCGGGAGAATGGGCTTAAAGAAGAGCATATCTGACTGCAGCCACCATTATCTGGAGATGTACAACCTTAAACAGAGCATTTGTAAAATTTTACTGTGCCGTTCTAAAAAAAAATAAAATACAACACAATCAGAGGTATAAGAGAATGAGTCACTCTGCTCAGGATTTCTACAGTCCAAATCATCTATCTCAGTGACTGGTGGATTTACCAAAAGGCCTCCTGCTGAAAGCAGAAGTCCAGTGAGGTGAAAACAAATTAGTAGTAACTTGTCACTGAGTTTTTCCTGAAAATTTACAACACAAGATAGGGGATGGGAGGGTGGAACACATGAAGACATCTTCCATGTGTTCATTGTTTCATTCTTCTCCCATGCAAATCTCATCCCATCTACAGCAGAGTAATAAATTTTATCAGACTGGGCACTGCATGCAAAGAAACAGCAAATTAATGAAATTCTCTCCCTGGCAGTTAATTAGGCTAGAATGGAAAACTGATACTTTCTGATACAGTAAACCAAGATTTCGAATAAAAAGAAACTATTTCTTTCTTATTTTTTTCTATTATATTCTCAATGCCAACCTGAGCTTACTCAGCAGAGTGTCCCTAGCAAAACAGCAATAATGACTGAAACTTTGCATATAGAACTGTCCATGTATGAAAGGGATTAAAGGGGAAAGAGAGGTTTTTTTCTAGGCTGGAGGCTGGCAGTAATAGAACCATCCTGATCCCTAAGACTAAAAAGATACAATTGAAAAGCTACAGTCCCCTGAATTTGGAAAATTGCTGGAATGGGGAATGACAGATTAGTGAACATAGCAGCTTCAAGTATTCTGACTACAAAAATTCCATTTTTGGGTGACTGTGAACCTGGGCTGCGTGATTTCAAAAAGTCATCTTCAGATTTCACCCAAGCCTTTATTTTGTACATATATTTCCCTTCAAATATAAATTTTAGATGTCTCTTGCAATAATAATCTGTAACATGCCTTGATCTGTGCTGACAACAAAGGAATTTGGCCTGCAAACACTGGATGTTGCTGCTAATAAAAATCTATTAAAAAATGAAGATTAATATTGTTCATCTCAGCACTCAGAGCACCTGACATTCTATTGCCTCCTATCTTGTACAATCATTTTCAGCTGTGCAAAATGAATGTAAAATGCCTTCATTCACTTCTGGCTCTCAGTGCTAAGAATAAACAGAGTCTGGCAGTCACTCCAGCTAGAAAAAAGTGTTACTTACCCGTGCATGCTTTGCCATCCGCTTTGAGTACAGATCCTTCCGGACAAAAGCAAACGGGGCCTTTAGACGTTTGAAGGCAACCGTGGCTACATTCAGTGTCATTACTGGTACAGGAAATTAGCTCTACAGTAATTTAAAGAGGGGAAAAAAAATCTAAAATTATGATAAAAATTTTTACTAAGCCCCCAAAGAGGGATATTAACTCTTTCTTAAATAACAAAAGGGGGGGGGGGGAACTAAATAAATAAAAGTGTTGTGTTGTGAGTACAACACCTCTGTGGTGTTTCTGAGGTTTGTTTTCCTTCGTTTCTCTTTTTTTCCAATATTTTTTTCCACACTGTCTCCTAATTATAGCACAGGAGAAAGCCAAAATTGCTGAGTCCTGAAGCCATTATACTTATCAGCCTTACATTTTCCAAAATTCTGTGATGAGGTGTTATCAAAATAGAAGTAATTTTGAAAACTTCCTTTCTTACATTTCATCAAAAATAGATCAGGTTTCGAAAACTACAAGGAATTTATACTGAAAGAATAAGTATAAAACACAAAGAAATGAGGACAAACTACTTTTCTACTACTCCAGGTGAAACAGAGCTAGAATCAATGAAAACAGAAGATGAACCTTCCTGAAACAAAACTCTGTTCCTCAGTGTCAATTTTAGAAGCTGTAAGGGCAAAACCATCTGAGGACCTGGCAATAGCTTTTCTTTACTTTCCATTAGAATTGTTGCAGTGCCAACATTTTTTTGAGTATTTCTTCCATGCAATTTCACAGGATATGCTCCTTCCACCTTCTATATTGCAGTGCTCCATCTCATTATTCCAGTTCTGGTGCCATATGGCAACACCCACTGGAAGACTGGAACTAATGAAAGTTTCCCACAGCTGCTTCTTTGAACCAGTTGCTTACACTGGCTTCAGTGGTGCATAACTGTTGCAAATACTGCTTCTCCAGGGCAACTTCAATCTGGACTGGACTATTGTAACTGCTTAAGCACAGAGAATATGGTCAAGAAATTATCTTGGGTTTCTTTTTGACCAGAGCTTGTGGCTTCTGCTATGGTCCAGAATGAACTCACTGGTGTGCACTGGCACTCCTACTTGGAGCTTATACCAGTATTTTATTTCCAAGGAAACAAGGTAGAAGGACCTTTGTCCGTGCATAAGTTTCACTTCAAAAGTGACTGGGAATATCCCAAGACCTCAAAACTTGGATGCTTTTCACACTTGGTGTTCTAGACTTAATTTAGAAAGGCTTAATTCATTTGTAGGCTGAGTATATGCATTTAATTCCACTAATGTCATACACATTAGCAATGCTATTGGCCCTGAGCTGCAAAGAAAAAAACTGATGATACAAGCTGCTCATGCAGAGAGCGGGAAAATTCTCATGCAGGATAACCACAGTGAGTCAAATTCGGATACCACATTTAAAAGGATATAACTGCTTATGCACCTGGAATGTGTCACAGAGCCTAACATGAGCAAAGAGATCTCTCTGGAGATATGACTTTTTATTTCCCCTCCCCCCCCCCGAGGAGGCCTATATGATTACTCACGTGTAACTTATACTTCCTTAAACATGACATCTGAAACTGGTTCACCCAGTTTAAGCTGATCCTACTTTACATAATAAGGGATCAGGAGTGAGCAACACAACCCACAAAACTTTCAGCAGTTCCAGTGTTAAATGAGGACTCTCTCTAGTGTGATGCTTCGAGTGTTTACATATTATGGCTCCTTACCGTGACATGTTTTCCTGTCAGGCAGCAGAACAAAACCTCTCGGGCAGGTGCAGTAATAGGAACCAGGGACGTTCACACAGCCCAAAGTACAGCCATGATTCCAGAAGCCACATTCATTAATATCTGCCAAAAGAAACACTTGTTGCATCCAAGTAACACCAAGCTGTGTCAGGGAGTCGATTAATGAAACAAAGAAACAGTCTGCAAGAAGTACCTCTTTTTTTTTGCATTCATTTTCCAAAGTATGTTTTTCTTTATATATTACAACGAAGCAAGTTTGCAGACCTCATTCAAATCAGCATTAAAAAACTTCTAGCAAAACTTACTCAGGCTGCACGTGTCCAGCATAGGTGCCTAGAAAACTTTCAAAAGTTCTGCCTTTCCATACAGATTTTAGTGCCATTTAAATCCTGTGGTGCATCCAAAAAAATTACATTAGGTACCTTCTTCAGACAAAAATTCTTTTAAGAAATTGGGCTTAAATATGACTTTAGTAGAAATCTCAAAACACAGAAGTGTATTAGAAGTCAAAATTCAGAAAGCAATCCTGGTGAATTTCCTGAGAACTGGAATGCTGCTGCTCAGGTAGGTTTGTAAATCCTGTAAGCTAGGAATTTTGATGCCTTTGTGTCTTATTAAATCTGGTCACGTAGTGAAAAAGATGCTTCCATAAGTATTATTTTGTCTACTATAAATAGTAAATTTAGATTTTTAATAATACAATCCAGATTAAAACATTGAGAAGTATGTTAAGAATTTCTGTCCTTTTTGGAAGTCGTAATAATCTTGTTGCAGGATTGTTCAATGTTTCACCTTTGGTGATATATTTGTTTTCATTTTTATTTAAAAATTAAATTAGCACACAGAAGCACATCTACTTATCTGAAGCTGTTTTACCTACTCAGGCTAAGATCAAAGTTTCTCAAAAGAATGGCACCTGTGACACATTCATAAGTTTCTTTTTCGACTATTTAAGAACCTGGAAGGACACAAAACTTAAATGATGAACTGAAATTTTTAAAATCTTGTAGTGTTTTTTCATACTCAAGACAAAGTAAAAGAACAGAAGAATTTTCTTTCATCATAAACCCATGACATGACGGAATAAAGCTGATGAGAGAATCACATATTACCTTCACAAAACTGTTTATTTCTACTTAAAATAAAGCCACTAGGGCATTTACACCGATGAGTCCTTGAGTCTGGCCTGCAGATTCTTCTTCTGCACTTTTCTTTATTCAAATCACAGGTTCCTCTTTCTGGAAGAACAAATACAGTGTAAGCATAATGGAGTTCTTACCATACCAACCTTCAAGTAGAAGGATGATCATAGATGTATTTTCTTCTCAACATCTGCTTGCTCAACCCGAGGAACTTCTTATTAACAGGCCAAAAAAATCACCGTAAAAAAGAAAGTACTTGGAAGACTAAGAGTAGGTCTGTGCACATGATCATTTCCAGCTCTACATCAGCACAAGCAGATCTAGACAGAGCCTGAAGTAAGGAATGGTTTGGTTTGGGTGCATACCTATGGTGACTGTGAAAAGGAAAACTGTGTAGCAGGTTTCATGGACCACCTATTCCTGCACAGTAGTATATTATTACTCCGTAAAACACTCAGAAATTAGAGAATGACAGAGAGAGCACCCACATGCAAAAGAAAAGAGAGAGGAGATAGATATAGCATATAACAAAGATATAGCATATGAAGACTGAGAATTATTACCACATCATTTAACAAAAAGAATAGCTGGACAGATCATAATGGCCATATGTTTCATGTGGACAAAAAATAATAGCATGGTCTAGAGAATCTTTGTACTGGAATGGATCTGTGAGAAATACAAGTGTTATAAATGTTGAGTTCAGATTTTAAACTCAGAATCCTTCTGATTTCCAAGAAGATATGTTCAAAGTTTCTTCAAAGAAAGCAGAAAAAAGTGCCCAATAGATCCCCCATAAGCTCCCTACTCCTGCTTCACAAAAAAAGCTGCTCAAGTATCCTTTTTCATGGGAAGGAAGTGTACTGAATATCATTAATTTGTTAGAAAAGATACTTAAAAGAATTCCAGAGGCAGTCTTTGAGATTTTGAGGCAATTAAGATATTTTATTAGTCATTAATAAAAATGTGATGCTGCCATACCAAAGTTGTTCTGTGGGGTTACAGCAAACCCATAGCTCAATTCATGCTCTTCTCTGTACTTATCAGCCCTGACCAATCCAGGGAAATCATTTGAAATAGAAAGGGAAGAGGATACATGAGGAATTTAGGTACCAAAGTAAATAATTCAAATTGAAGTAAAAAAAAAATCACATCATGTCATTTGCACACTTCTCATCAGTTCCCTTTTCATCTGAAGGAACACACTAGTCATCTGCTTTAAAGAAGTCTTGATAATTCACAGCAGACGCTACATTTCAACATACATTTTCTTAGCTTGTACAGAGCATCCAATTAGTCTAGGTATGCTTTTATCTCCAGGTTTCTCTGTTGTAAGATCAGCTATAAATCTCATTTGAACTCCAGGCTCATTAGTCCTCCTTTCATCCCCGTTCTTGCGCTGGATAAGCCAAGCAACGTACATGCAAAGTCCAAAAGGTTCATCTGGATTCAGCCTGTTAAGCTTCTTTCTACTCCATCACTTTTCAAACATTTTTACAAGAAGTTATTTGGAATTTAAAGAAAGGTCTACTGTCGACAACGCTTACTGTTGCACAAAAATTTACTGAACATTGGAAATATAGGGGTATCTACTGCAAGGCATTTGAAAACACTGGTATATATTTTATATATATGTATATATATGTGGTTTATATATAAATAAAAGTGGGGAAAGCCTTTTTGCAGTGGAAAGATAAACATCAGACCGCAGAATGCTCTGGTGGAAGAAGTGGAGTTAATCTTCTGAGAGAAGAATAGAAGCTAAGTGCCCACAGTCAGTGAAAACTTTCAATGAAATTATGCTGCACATTCTTGTGGAGAGGACACGTAACACAACCAACAGTCCATGAGGTTCAAGAGACCACTACCAAGAACTACCTTTCTTGGTCGTGGTTTCTTCCTCTCTATCTTCCTGCACAGGGAAACATTGTGTTAGACACCCAAAGAGACCTCATAAGACCTTCTGAATCTCAGTGTGACAACCCTGAGATGTGTGGAGATGCTCCTGTCTGCACCACAAACATATCCTGCCCTAGTTACTCTGTATGAGAGCCCCAAATGTCAAGTGTCAAAGAAAGTGCTTCCATTTGCCAGGATGACCATTTTCCTCAAAGTAAGCACATAACAGATATTGTCTCTGAATAGATGCTCCCTGTGCTTACAAGTGTAAGCTTGATTTCCAGCAATACTTTATCTTCTGCATCTCAACAGCTCTTTGCACTGAAAACAAAGCATTTGAAAGGGAAAATTCCTTTAGAGAATTTGATTTTTCTGCTCAGATCAGTCTTCAAAATGAGAGATGGCATGGTACCATATGAAGTTGTTGGTTGGCATGCAAAAAGACAAAGCCTATTTTATAGTAGATATTCAAAAATAGTTCAAGAGAAATATTTACAGTTTCATTTTTGCTCATACAAACAGAAACAAACACTACATTCTCCTCATGTCTTTATATCACTTAAGCCTCTGGGAACCCCTGGAAACCTCTATGCCTCTATGCTGTTTTCTTGTCTTTCTTATCCAAGCAAACTGGTGACAAAAGCTATTCCATTAAAGCAAGAATGCTCTGTCTGCTTTCCAGAGACCAGACAACAAGACATTATTTCCCCTGGACATCCCTCACTTCTTACTGTCTTAGCAGGAATCCTCAAGGAAGGTGAGCTCTTGATAGTCAACTACCTCCATTTTTGGATCCACAATGGAAGGCAGCAAGACAACCAACTCATACTGCCATCGATATCAATTAAAGAGACTTGAGACTCTTATTCTAGAGTTATTATAGCAACTTCAAGTCTTTCTAAGACAGGCTGACTCTTAATTGAGCCATTTCACAGCCAAGCTGAGACATCCACAGTATCACCTATAGGACATTCTTAGTTCTTAAAATCCTTCAACCTCATAATAATAAGAGGTGTTTAAATGCACACTAGACTAAAACTTCCAGAATTAAGCAGACATTTGATGAAGATAATGTAGGTGGAGGATTAAAAAGCTGTACGCTTTGTGCATCTAGCAGGACAGTATAAAAACACCTTTGTGCAAACAAAGGGGTGAGAAGGAGAAAGTCACTTTATCTGCTTATGTATTTAGAATAATGAAATGAGCAGTTCATGCTTGGCACACCTCCAGCCTGGTACTCAGCTGGATTTGCACACACCAAGCGGAACTGTGGACCACTGAAGTTAAAGGAAACTTTTTCCTTTACTTCACTGAAGCATGGAATTTTGCCAAAGAAAATTATTACTGTAGAGAATCAGAGTGTATGACATTATTATTCTCATGCGTACAACTGTACCATTTCATTTTACTTACCCAAATCCTGAGAATCAGTTCTTGCACCTGGCTGTTTAAAAGGATGTACTATTTTTATCTCCACTGGTGGAAAAAATGATGGCTTCAGGCCAATTGTGACTACAACTTTTCCAGTATATTTGTTGGCTCTCCATATCATGCCAGATTTCAACTCTGAGTAATAGAGGTGCTCAGCGAAGAGAGACATTCCAAGCAATTGATGTCTACAACAAGAGAAGATAACATAAAGTGGCACATTACCTATATATTTACTCATTCCAACATTTTCTGAGCATCTAGTTCAGTCTAATTCACTGTAAATAACCTTTCTCTGTATTCTTACATATATATAATATATTGTATTATGGTCTACATATGAGAATCAGATGAGGTGTGGAGACATTCCCAAAATAATTCAGCACTCATAATCCTGTAAATTTGCAAAAAAATAAACCACAAAATGGATAATCTGCATTTCTCACAGGTTTTATGAGCTATTGTTCAGGACTGACTCAATTGGAAGAGAAAGTTTAGGTATCACCCCACTTCTGGTGAATCCAGCAACTAAAATAGACACCTGCTTTGTTGAAGAATGTAGGTCAGATAAGTTCCACCATTTCCCAATACCCAGGGCCTGCTCTGACAATTCTGACTGTCCAAGGAAATCAAGGTGGAGATGGAGAGGTAAGATTAGGGTGTTCTGAAATCCATCTCCTGCTGCTTTTCCTATTGCAGGAATGTAGTTTCCACTCACTGGTCAGTTATAGCAGCTAGCAGGAACCACAAAAGGGCCCAGTTTTAAATAAGAGAGAGAGCAGAAAAGATACTTAAAGAAGTAATTCTGTCTTCCACTTTCCAACACATAATCCAGGTTGAAAACTGAGAATCCATATCATCCAGGCTAAAGGGAAAGTGTCGGTGCCCTAGTGAACAACAACCAATTCGAGGAAGAAAAGGGAAGAGGGTAAGGAAAAATCCAGTGTGATTGCTGGCAGTGTAGGGAGAAACCAGCTGTGTGTTCCTCATACATAGAGTGCTGCATATTTAAATCAGCTGGCAGTGAAACCATGTATTTTTCTCATTCTGCTGTTGGCAATCCCTCTTACACGTGTGCCTGTTACACCCAGCGGTACAGACAGATACCGCAGTGACACAGGGTAACCTTTCCCGAGCACCTCACTGACCAGCACAGGTCACCTGTACCCCTCCATGCACAGCATGAAGCTCAAAAGCACATGGTCTAAAAGCCCCCTCAGCTGTTAGACCCAGTTCCTTAGCCTTGGCATTGGGGAACAGAGGGGGACAATTCTCTTGCACAGGACAGTTTTCAACACATCTGCTGATGCTTGCTGGAGAGTCTGAGCACAGAGCTGAGCCTCCCCACCCAGCAGCTAAGGACAACAACAGGCTCAGAGGAGGGAGAGAAAGACCTGAACTAGTTCAGTTTCTTGAGCACAGCTCAGACACCTGAGCTCACCCACTGTGACCTTGGATAAATCATTTAATCTCTCCTTTTGGCTCTCCTATCTGCAGAAAAAGGCCACTAATAAACACTTAGAGAGGATTTCTAAGGATTAAGTAGTTATCATTTGCAGAAAGCTTGGAAGATAGAGAGTACTGAGTGGCAGTGTTGTCCTTACAACTGCGACATTTTTCATTTTCCTATCATTAGTTTTATATTTATAGTTACAGGCCATCTGCACTACACTTCATACTCCTCATGTTATGAACTGACACAATAAAAGGGAGAAAAAGGAAGATAATTTAACAACACCCCTGAAATGAGTGTTTTATTTCTGACAAGCTGAGGAAAACTCACCGAACAGAACTTTTGAGCAAACGAACAGCTCCGCCCTCATAGTCGCATGATCCAATATGGGAAATCTCTTTCCGGTGGTCGTGTTGGATCCAGTAGAGCCTTGTGTCAACCAAATCTAGTGAGATGGCCTTTATTTTTTCTGTGGTTCTTAAAACATTTATCCTATCATTTCCACTGAGGGACACTCTGTGTATGCTGGAAACTGTACCATCTGAAGACCAAAATAACAGCCTGCAGGCAAGACAGGCATGTTAAGAAAACAAAAAACAAAACCACAAAACCCCACAACAAACAAACCTACATTTGCACAACCACATCACTGCTACACATTCCTTGTTTAGCTGCTCCTGTGTACAAAATTTCTCAGTGTGGTACTACAACTACTAGTGCTGCTAGAGATACTAGAATTCTCTCATGTAGGTCAAGCAGGAATCAGCCCAGCTTAACCACTATTGTCTGTCTCTCTGCTTTGTTCAGCCATGCAGTCAGACAAGGAAACTGGAATAACCTCTCAAGTCCATGGGGAACACCTGCAAACTTGAGGACAGGGAGTTCTTTGAGGTAGATCTGCATTGCCCTCTGCCCCAGGGAAGGAATCTACCTCTGGAATTTCTAGTTGAACACACCACTTAAGTGCTTAACTCAAAACCAATTTCTATTATTGTTCTTATTTCTGTCTTCCTGCTGGTTATAGCAGACAGACTATGCTCTTATTAAATGCAGACACAGTCAAAATACAGCTCCAATACTCAAACCAGTTATGCACTGAAGCTAATTGTATGTCAAGATATTCATAGATCAGAACTTAGATTTATTGATGAGATTAAGGGTAACAGTAGTTCTTCCAAAATAGCAACTTATCCCTAATTCATGTTTATTTTATTTTTTCATGTTTGGATTTAGATTCTTTCCTTGCGTTTCTTGTGGACAAAAATTCCAAGAAACATCATTGGTTTGACCTATCCTCATAAAATTCCAGGATTTATATGTACAAAACCATGTAGTATAAAACTATCTTTACTGTGTTCATGTTAATGGTTTGTTAAGGACCCCAAATGTATTAGATCTGGCAAAGAACTATACTAAACCAGTAGAAAGAGTTAATCTCTGCCTCACAGCTTTTCCTCACTGTCACATAGTCTATAGTAATGACAGGTATCGGTGTATAAGCAAAAACACTTTTCCAGAAAGACAGCCCAATTTTATTCTGCCATTTTTAAACAGTTTTTCTAGCACCTGTCATTTAAGAAATGTCACTACTCTGACACAAATGTGAGGATTCACTTTTTATAGATAAGAAACTAAGAAACAAAGGAAGTTAAAGTCTCTGCACACAGCTTTTGCAAAGCAGTGTAGGGATAGGATATGCTAAGAACAAATAGACAGGAGAAAAACTGAGATTAGAAATCAACTTGAGTAGTTGCCAGCCTTTATTGCATTTGCCCTCTATTTTTCTTTAGACTTAATTCTTATTTTTTGGCATTTCTAAACACCATTAAAAATGTAAAACAATCTACAGCAATAATTGTATTATTGCTTCTAAAAAAAATCCTATCACTGCTAAAATCCAGACACATATTTTAAGAAAAATTCTGTTATTAGGGTATCACATTGACCTTCATTACTTGAGAGTTGCACATGTTTGGAGAAAGACATTGCTAATGTAAGATTTAGTCCATGTTTAGGCCTGTGCATGTAAACATACTGGGGGTTTTCTTTCACTTCTTAATAAAAACAGAGTCCTCAATAGTTTTCATACAAGCAAATTGCCATAGGGCATAAAAATTATGTTAGACTTCTTGGAGTCTACTTTCTTTACAGTTTGTTACTGTCTCAGTGGCCTCCCTGTTTGTACATGAGGACAACTTTTATGCACAGTGAATCACACCTAGGTGAATATCCACACTTGAGTCTCCCCAAACTTCCACATACATTCAGCAAATACATCCCTGTAATTCCATTTGCAACATGTGTTTCAGTGGTGTTTGAGAGTGGGTGTGAGGACTTGTGAATATTTCCAACACTGATAAATGCTATGTTGAAAAGTAAATCGGGGGTGGGGGTGAAATACACAGGCTGATGTCCAGGCCTTAAATCCCACTCAAATAGCAAGACTCTGAAGAATATAGGCAATGCTGTCACCATGGGTGCACACCTGCAGGGCTGTGATATTGGCATCACAGAGATATGGTGGGATGGCTCCTGTGACTGGAGCATTGGAATGCAAGGATACAGGACCTTTAGGAAGGACAGGCAGGGGAGACATACTCTGTGTCAGTGAGTAGCTGGAGCACATGGAGCTAGAACTGGGGATGGATGAGGAACCAATGCAGAGCTTACGGGTCAGGATTTAAAGGCGTAGAGAGTCAGGTGACATTACAGCTACAAGCTACCTGACTGGGAAGGCTGAGTGGATGTGGTCCTCTCTAAGCAAATAGGGGCAGCCTCACATTCACAAGCCCTGGTCCTCACAGGGGACTTCAGCCACCCTGATATCTGTTGGACAATGTCGGTGTAATGGACAGTGGGATTGAGTGCACCCTCAGACAGTTTGCTGACAACACCAAGCTGTGCGGTGCAGTTGGCATGCAGGAGGGAACGGATACCATCCAGAGGGACCTTGACAGTCTTGAGAGGTGGGCTTGTGTGAACCTGATGAAGTTGAACAAGGCCAAGTGCAAGGTCTTACACCTGTGTCAGGGCAATCCCAAGCACAAATACAGTTTGGGTGGAGAATGTGTAGAGAGCAGCCCTGAGGAGAAGGACTTGGGATGCTGGCGGATGAGAAGCTTGACAAGACTTGGTAATGTGCACTTACAACCCTGAAAGCCAACCGTGTCCTGGGCTGTATGAAAAGAAGTGTGACCAGGAGGTCGAGTGACATCATTTTCCCCCTCTACTCTGGTATTTTGAGACCCCACCTAAGAAGAACATAGATCTGTTGCACTGATCCCAGAGGAGGGCCACAAAGATGATCAGAGGGATGATCAGAGGTCTCTTATGCGAAAAGGCTGCGAGATTTTGGGTTGTTCAGCCTGGAAAAGAGAAGGCTCAAGGCAAACCTTGTAGCATCCTTCCAGTACCTAAAGGGGGTTTACAGGCAAGATAGAGAGGGACTTTTAGCAGGGACATGTTGTGACAGGACAAGAGAGAGTGGCTTTAAACTGAAAGAGGTTGGGTTTAGATTGAATATTAGGAAGAGGTTATTTACTGAGAGGGTGGCAAGGCACTGGAACATGTTGTCCGGAGAACCTGTGGATGCTCATTCCTGGAAGTGTTCCAAGATCAGGCTGTATGGGACTTTGAGCAACCTGGTCTAGTGAAGGGTTTCTCATGGCAGAGGGGTTGAACTAGATGATCACATGATCTTTTTGTCCCCTTACAATCCATTTCTGCAATTCCATGAAACTGCAATCACAGTACTTTACATATTTGGAATCTATTTTGATGAAATTACTAATCCATTTAAAATTACCTTTGTTCAGCATCAATGATAATCCTTGTGGGATGACCAACATCTCTTAAAAGAACTCGGCGCTTCTTCCCATTCATGTCTGTCACTTCTATGGTTCCTTTCTGTCTGTTGGCCCAGAGAATGTCTTGATTTATCCAGTCAATAGCAAATCCTGAAATGCCTTTGTCTATGTAGCATAGTCTCTGTAAACAACAACAACAAAAAAAGAGTTGACAACAAGAGTCATCCTAAGGACTACTCCAAACTTGGCTATCATTATAGGGAATAAAATGCCAGACTGAAACTTTCATTCCCTTGCTTGCTTCATTTTCTTTCAGACCTGTAGCTATTTCTCTTTCTTATTCTTTCATCACTTTCATTAGGTCTTTGTACTAAAATACACCCCCTCTGAACAGAGCTACCCCCTGCAAAAGGAGAAACTGTCCTGCCCAAGAAATACACTGGAATAATCTTTTTGCTACAACTTATTGCATTTGGCACATTATGGAGCACCCAGACCTGTACTGTTACAGATGGAAGACTTCCTAACACACTGTTGCTGGTTTCTGGTCCTTGAAAGTCAGTGAAAATATATCAATGAAGACTCCACATGGGTACACGAACACTGGCAATCTCTCTCAAACAAAGGAAGGCCCTTACAGCATTAAAGTTCAGCCACAACAGCTTGTCTGCCCTTCTTAATCAGATGCAATGAACTGCACAGCTTTTTCTGAACAAAGGATGAAGTGCCAAAAGAAGTATTTATGCAACCATAGTAACCAATGAAAGGTTTGAGAAAAAAATGACCAGGAATTGAAGCACATTCTTCTCATAGCATTTGTGTCAGCTTTGTTACAATAATCTGGAAGACAAAGTTCTGTAATGCCAGAGATTAATTTAAAACTGATAGAAACATTAACGTCTACAAAGCCTTAGTTTGTCTGAATTTTCTTTCCTTCATTTTTAACTGTCCTTCACTTGATCCACAGAAAATACTGAATGCACTAAGTGTGAATGCCAGTAAAACAGCCTAGACTCAGGAGCAGAACTACTGCAACAGGAAAAATAAAGTGCTAATCAGTGAACAGCAAAGGTAGAATTGTACCTAAAGAGTAGGTAGTTTCCATAGAGGGTTTTACGCCCATTAACTCCGAGAATTCCAGAGAACTGAGTACTCTACCTCTCGTTTTGTGCCATTCAGGTGAATTCTTTCAAGTAGTCTCCTTTCAGAGTCTACCCAATACACTTTCTCTTCTATATAATGAAAATCCATAAGTGTTGATGGACCAGTATCAGCAACCAATCTTTCGTGATTGGTCCCTTCAGTGTCAATTCTAAAGATGGCATTTCCATGGCTAAAAAGTAGGAATGGTGCAGGGTCTGGTGTGGAGAAAACAAAAAGAGACCAATTAATTAATAAGAATTGCAATTTTGCTGCATTAAGTTCTCATCAGTAATATACTAGTCAAAGAGAAAGTTCAGGATCTACCTATCTCATATTTTAATAACAGTTTTCTAGGCCTATCACAGAGAACCAATAAGATATAAATGTAATGATCTTTTCATATGTAATACTGAAATTAGGTCAAAAATCTGAGTTAGGAAACTGAAACTGCAATGGTTGTTACCACTAATCCCAAACCCTACAGCCTAGTCAGATGTCAGAACAATCACTGCATGCTTGCCAGCTGAGGTTGGAAGAATTTTGCCATGCATGTGTCTCCAAGTGGAAGACCACTTCAAGTTATTGTGCTATAGCAAGAATTCATGACATAGAGGTGGCCTGGAGTCTCACTTTTACCTATCCAAGAAGGGAAATTAAAGATTCCAAGACAGGGAAAAGGAAGAAGCTAAAGACTGTAGATGTTTCTTATGCTGCAGAGGGCTGAAGGAAAGCAAGAGACCTATACTCAAAACTCAACAGCATCAACTCCTTCCACACAAAAACTGTATTCATACTGAGTGAAGGGTAACTTAAAATACATTAAAACCAAACCAACTAGGATGGTCACTATACCCTTGACACATCCTTAAACCAGGTGATATGTATAGAAATACAACTAATAGTGCGTAATGATTGGGGCTGCTGATTACACCACTCCAAGTTTTGTCAAGTCCTTTCTTATTTTTAGTGTATCACCACAGAGCACCATATCAGCAAGACTGCCCTATCACCAGCTTTCTTGCACATAAATTTTTGAAAATGAAATTGGTTTTATCGACCAGGTTCACATCTTTTTTAACTAAATATCTTTACTGTTAGCATGAAACCCGATGCTTTAAACTCAACAAGCAGCACTTTACAAATATTAGACAGATGCTCCACCTTCATCATAGTTGCAAGGTTGTTTGACTCAACTCCTTTCAAAGCAGAAGAATTAGACCGATTTTGATTTCTTCAAGTGAACTAAGTTCTGATGAGCACCCAAGATGTAATTTTCTTTTTTGTTTCCAAAGGGGAACCCAGGGAAGATAATCAGCACATTGTTTCTGTACTAACAGTGGTTTGTATCTCAAGTTTAAAGCTATCACCCAATTATAGCAGCTGCTCCTAGGATTTTAATGACTCCCTTTTTCTGCTGCTATTTACATTGAGAAACCCTATGTGAGCATATCTGAATTATGAAGATTTGCTTCATGTAAATGGTAAATGAACTGTGAAGTGTAGTGAGGCTGATTTATCTAAGGAATTTAGCAGCGGCAGTACCTGCATTTTTGCCAATTAGTTGATCAAGAGCATTCATACACTCCAGTTTTGTCCTTTCCATTCTCTGAATTTCCTATCAGGTGCCTATGAATGAGGGCTATAAGTGGAATGGGAACTGAAACAAATTTTTTTTATTGCAGAGGCAGCAGTCAGATTTGGAACCTAATTTTATCAGGGGTTTAATGATCAGGTAAACAATATCTGCACCAAAGAGTTTCCTATCTTTAAAACATGACAGTATTTCACTTGGTGCATCCCCCAGAAGGGTTTATAGCTAGCATAAGGGCTCCTTATCCATCACCATATTTCTATCAGTTACTTTCTATTGTTGCTATGAATATTAGTAATAATGTGTTGAAAAGTTGAAGTCCTCCAATATGAAGGTAGGATTGTTCTTTGAAAGATATCTGTGCACAAATAGTGCAGTTAAGTAACATATTTGCTTTCACTTCAGTTCAGAAGTGAAGAGTTCATGAAAGAGCTGATTTTTAAAAATAGGAAAAATCTATTTAAGGGACCAGAGATGTTTAGGCAGGACTATAAAAAATCCAGTTTTGGTTTTTGCAAGTCAGATGTAGCTGATAATTATGAAGATTCTAGACGTAACTGAAGTAATTGCATTGGTGGCAATTTGGGAGCTATATGGAATACTTTTGGTTATGTTCATGGTCCCAAAGGCTACAGGCATAGAGACTCAAGTCTATCTTCTACTTCTTGGGTCAGAAACGTGCCTTATCATATCCCATCTCTGCATTAGCAGGAGTCCCAGGTAAATATTAGTCAAAAAAACCCAAAACCCTGAGGTTCTGGATCAGAAGGGAGCTTGTGGCGTATCGCAGACATGAATCAAAGCCAGGCGTTCAGGAAACCAAAGTGGAGAGGTGAGAAGTGTACTCCAGAGCACTCCCACCTCATACTCTAGATGCAAATATAGGGTTAAACCAATCAGTAAAATCCAACTAAATTTTTTTTCCCAGGGTAGCATCAGTTGAGTGCAAAATGAAAGTTATTCAAAGGCCATAACTGTGAATATTTTCCTCTTAGAAGAGCTAAAAACTTTTAAATTAAAATGCATCTCCCACATTTAAAAATAAATTTATTCTTAAATAATTAAGGACAGAGCAAGGGAGAAAAATAACTCAAAGTAGCATTCATGTTTTTTAAGACACTGCTGATGGATGAAACCAAAAATAAGGGCTTCCTGCTTACAGTTTCACAGCACTGTCCCTAAAACCTACACACACTGGAAAGGCATCAACACCACTAGACTGAGAGGCAAAGGCAGCAAAATCTTTTGTACTGCCATGTCTTCCTGGAACTAGTTAGGATGGGCTAAGAGAGTTTACAGCTCTGAGCATGCAGAGAAGGCTAAACAGGAAGTAATTGTTTAGGTTTTTTTGTTTCCATATTTTTATATTTTCATTCCTCTTTTCACCACCATACTTTCCATTCTTCACCATCACTCTTCTGCAGCACCCATTTTGGCCTTGCCACTTACCCACAGAGTAGAAGAGACAGTTTTTATCAGTGAACCAGAGCACCCCCGTCGCTGTCTGGCAGTGACCAGCAGGCTTGGTTCACTTTGAAAAATAAAGCTAACTAAATCTCTAAAGCTCTTTTTCAGTCATCAAAAAAGAAAATGACCTTACCATTCACATAGCAAGACCGTTTGTCAATATCCAAAGAGTAGCCAGGCAAACAGGTGCAGATGTAGGATCCTGGAATATTGATACAGGTTTGGCCGCAGGTTCCCAAACCACCTTCAAGGCACTCATCAATATCTGAAACAGGCGTTTGAAAAAGATTAGGAAAATTCAGCTTGCAAAAGTAGCATGAGCAAGGAGAAAGAGTGCCTTTGACATAGTTATCTAATAATAAATTGGTCACAAAATTTAATATCCCATCATTAAAAAAACAAGATGAGGATGGCTGTATTGCTTCATGCATTGGCTTCTGAGTTATTGTTTTGTCCATCATCATGCTCACAGTGATTCTGGAGGGCGCTGGGGTTTTTTGAGTTTTCTTTGACTGTCTAGGGAAAATACCCTTCTCCCTTGTGTCTGGGAACTCTGGTCTCTAAGTGCCCAAACACAGGGAACAGACTTGTCTTGATTTGTGTTCTTATTTGCTATGCAAATGCTGCTTGCAGCTGCTTCCTTCAATCTTTATCCCTTTATCAACAATAATAATTTTGCCAACAAATTAACAGACTTTGCAAAACAGCAAAGTAGCAGACTGCCACAGCATTGAGTTCAACGTTGAGCTTGTTGTGGTTTCAATCAAATCTCAAACACACGTACAAAACACTAAAACTCCCACTATATTCTGACAGCAACAAGCCAAAACCAAAGCAACAAGGAAACTAATTAGAAAACTGGACTTTTAACTGGCAGATTAGGCTATAGCACTCAGAAATTAAAAGATATTTGGCATATTTTTGGTGTTTTATCAGGGTTGAAGAAGTAACTATTAATTGAGTCCTAAATTAAGGAATTTTTTTTTTTAAAAAAGATATTACTACTGAGGAGCATGGTTTACAGGGGAAAAGAAATTAATTCCTTTGGCAGTACCATGGATAATTGTCCCACAAAATTGAGATAAATTTTAGTGCCTACTGAAAACAGATGCAACTTCCCAAGGTACTTGACATCTGGCAGTACCATATGCTGGCATATTTCTTGTATACTTTCTTCAACTATTGTGAAGGTTGCTATAAGGAGCAGCTTTTTTCTTGCCCAAGTTCTATTAGATGTCAGTGGATTTTGTGCTGGTTATCAGCTGACTTTGCTTATGCAGGAATAAAAGAATCAACAAATTCTGTTTTAAAGAGATGCATTTGATTAAGTCACTAAAAGAGGTGGATTCATAACTCAAACTAGGACTGTGAGTGTTATATGAGAATTTGCTTAGTTTAAAGAAGGGCAGAAATAGCACCTTAACTACAAGGAACAGCAATTTAACCAACTTAGCAAACTTTAAAAGAAACGTCCTCACTAACCTAGAGAGAGCTAAGCAACTAGATCTCTGATATGCCATGGTTATGGGTCCTGTATCCTTTAACTGCTTTAAGAAACTATATGTAGCTGAAGTGCTTAGAGGTTTCTTCTCTGTCAGGTATCAAAGTTATTAAAAAATACCGTAAATTCTTTACGGTCACCTAATGTGTCTGCACAGACTAGGGAAAGTTTCATATTATTTTTAGAGTTTTCCCACAACTTTATGTTCCAGATAGCAGATTAACTAATTTGGCAATGCATGAAATGTTGTCAGAGCACATGCAACTGATTTCTGTTTAACTGATTACAAAGGTAAAGCAGAAACATTTTCAGCAATGTAATTCCACAAAGTACCCTAACTCTAACCCACAATTTTCTTCAAACAATCAGCTTTCAGGAGAATATTTTCCCTCATGTACTAGGATTGTACATTCCATTCTCCACAGTATTAAAGGAGTAACTCCTCCAAATCCCCTCTAGAAAGGTTTGACTGGCTTAGAAGTGTTAATGGGCTACAGAAACCACGAGCTCCAGGTCACCATTTTAAAACCACATACTCCAAGATAACATTGCCTGGATGGCATTAAAACTAAAGGGCTCTCTGATAGCCCACATGGGAGGGCTTTGGTGACCTCAGCTCATTATCCAGCTGCTCTGGGTGTTAGACATGAAGACTGTTTGTCTCTCTCTCCCCGAGCATTGTTTTTCAAACCATGTACCTGACTGATTAAGCCATGGAGTTAACCTGGTCGAGTCACCAGTGCTGCAGTGGGTGCAGGACTGTGTTGATAAAGGCTGTAGTGTAGTTTATGTTAGTCAAAATACTTTTATGACAATAGTAGCTTTCAAATGAACTTGATGCTATTCCTCTGTGGAAATGACAAGTACGGGTGATAAAGGCAACTGTGTAAATGTAAAATTGCTAAAGAGAGAGGTTGTTTGATTAAGCAATGAGAAACACTGCTGAGCTATTATTCAATCACAATAAAGAGCACATTAAATGAGAATAAAAAAAGATAGGCCTGACCTACAGATTATATGAGGAACTGCTTTTCCAAAAGATTTATGTTCATACTGGATAGAAAGCTGACCTCTTAGCATGTTACTGGGCACAAAAATTCAAATCACAACACATATAAACACAGCAAAAAATACTGACTGTGGGGAAAAAAAAATTACTTCTGTGTATGGCAGTGGTCGGACTATACTGTCATGCTCTTTGTGTTTCTCAGATATAGGTTATTAAAGGATCAAAAAAAAATTAGAAGGTGTATACAACAAGGATAAAAATCCTGATTTTAATGTATGCAAAAGTGTTTTTCTGTGAGACACTTAAAGAGCTCAGAATGCTTAGAATATCAGAAAGAAATTTGGAAGAAGATCGATCGCCATAAATAAATACCTTCACACAGAAAAAGTTGCATATTTTCTAAAAGATACTATAATCAGGAACCATTTAACAAGGACTGATGGCTCAGAACTGAAGCCAGGGAATTCAAATTCAGACATTACTCACATTTTAACAGGAAGAGTGATTCACTAAGGGAACTAGTTACCCAGAAAAACCCTGAAGGCATGGAAAACATCACGGGATATTCTAAAGTCAAGATCAGACTGGGAAGACATGCTTTAACCAAGCACAGGTTACTGAGCTACATACCAAGGTAACAGGACAATGACCTTTTATTTACAGGATGGATTTTCAGCTTTATATGAGTGTACAAAACAGGAAAGAGCATGCTCATTGATCAGGCTACAACAATTTACACTGTCTCCCCAGTAACTGCACTTGAAGAGAAGATTTCAGGGTTACTGAGCTGTCCATTTTCATCATCACCAACACTCACATAATAAAGCAAATCCCACACATACTGAAAAGCAAGCCATCCCTCCAGCTGAAGAACAGCTATCATGGAAGAATAATAACTGCCCAACAAAAGGCCAGGGACACAGTGGCAGGTCGGCCACCAGAGAATGCCCCTCCCAGTGGTAAACAGGAGGAACCAAGAGACAGTGCTATTGTGAAACACGCAGCAGTATTGTGAATGTTTGGTTTTTATGGAATTAACAACAGAAGGGGATCCTATACTTAACACACTCTCTTATTTGCTTAAAGTACAAACAAACAAAAAACCCCCAACCCAATCAACCAAAAACACCAACCCCAAAACAACAACAACAACAACAACAACAAAACACCACTGAAACAAAACAAAGCTGTTTCTTAAGATTTAGGAGAACTCCATCACAAAACAATCCATCAGGTGTAACTAGCAGTGCTTTCATCTGCACTTTTAGTGCCAAAGGAAAGCATGGAGTTGCATCCTGCTGTAGCTGTTTTACGTGTCCTGGCAACCACATCCCCCAGTGGGAACTTTACCCTGTGAAAGAAATCGGCTTAGCGAACACAAAAGCTGTCTGCAGTGCCCTGACAGCCAGCCCTGAAAGGAAGAATGAGGTTCTGCTCAGTTCTCAAAGGCTTCTTTATGCAAAAAATGCCTTGAGAATCAGCAAAAACGATGAATCATGTCATCACGATGTTGGCAGCTCTCAATGACTTTGCATACAAATATACTACTTTATTGAGAGTCCTGAGAAAGGCTCTGGTTGCAGAAGGTTGAAGCATTAGTATGCCTGGCAGGGATACAGAGAAACCCCAGTGAGCTAGAACTTGCATTTCATTATGGCCCCAAATACATACATTATATACATATATATGTGCAGATATATCTACTCAAATAACCTCACACAAATTTAGTTCCTGTCGAGTTGGACTGGGGGTTAATTCAATCCACTGTATCTAGCCCCACCATAACCTTTTCAACAAAGTTGAACATGAAATTTCATCTGGGTGACAAAAAAAGCAGCCCATCCCTTTTATCTATTTTGTTTAAAGCATACAGCTCAAAGAACAGAAAATAGCTAGAAATGGAAAAAGATACTCCAGCTATCAGCGGACCACAATAAAACAGATGATGCATAGCTAAGTATCTTCTCTCTCCACTTTTAAATGAGGCTTAAAATACAACCTTATCACTCACAATTTTTGAGAGGATAGAGGTGGTGAAGTGCTCCCATACTATGGTAAAAAATACAATATGAATACAATAAGGTGGTTATCAACTCCTGGACTCTTCCAGCCCAGAGCCACAGAAATGATCATATCACAGATATGACAGCAAGAGCAAGCTTATTATTTATCAAGTATAAAATAGAATCAAATTTAGAATTGCAATAGAATTTAGAAACCACTTGTAGACATCTCAAAGAGAAAGGGCAAAAAAGATCTCCAGGAACTACAATATCTTCAAAATAAATTCTATTTGTAAATTAGTAACTACAATACAGACCTTCACTTCCTGGATCATGCAACTTTCAACATATTATTATTGGCTTGCCTTTCAAAGACCAAGTTCATGAGGCATCCATGAAATGCTGCCATCCAGCTCTCTTTAAAATCAGATTTCAAATTAGATACTAGAAAGTAATCAGTTATAATAATATAATAATAGAATAACTCCTATTTTCCCCTGAGGAAAACAATGAGTCTTGTAGTACTAGTTATTGGTCCTGGGGTCTGCCCCTTAGCCCTTTTCAGTATTAAGCATCATGTGATGTATGATGCTACTTCTGTCTTTTCTTGTAACATATTTGTCTCTTTCCTATTTTGATCTGAGCTTTTACAGCTGAAGACAGTATTTTTCCACATTCAGATGGGTCCAATTCCCAGATAATTCAGTGTGAATCTTCTTGTGAATTGGTCTCTGGGTTCAGACCCATGCTCAAGAATTCCTGAATACTATTTGCTAAAAATACAAGCATCTTTCCGCAAAGCTATATTATGTGAAGTGAGCTAGCTGGAAGACAGCTACTGAAAACAAGGAAACAAACATCCCTTGACTGCAGGTCTTCTGAAATACAGAGGGAAACAATGGCTTCTTATCAGGTTTATCCCTGTCACGACAGGGGGAGAAAAAGCAGTTCCCCATTTCATTGGTTCTTACTGCTCCTTATGAGATGCTTGCAAAGAAAGGAGAGCTGTGAAATAATAAGGATTTGGCATTTCATATTTCAGTTTTAACAGCATGTCTTCATCTTCAAAGATGTAAAACAAAGAGTAAAAACTTAGTACTCCTCATCTCCAGTGCTCCGTGGTAGGAGAGAGGTGAACAGTAAGAAAGAAAAGAGGAAAACTTGAGACACAGAATGAAGTATCTGACCAAAAGAGTTGACCTAGATAGCTGCAGTTGTCACCTTCAATTGCAGGCTCTAGCTCTGTTGGAATGTGCAGCATGTTAGCCCTGAAGAAGTGACAAGAGCTGAGCAGTTAATGTCAGGATCTGGTAGAGATGTGCAGAGAACCTATGATTAGGCATAACTTCAATACTGTGGGTTTTGGTTTGTCTTCTTCCAAGACTTTTTTCAATACCGTTGGGTTTTTTTAAAAATAACTTTCTTCACTTTTAAAACTTAATAAGTAAATATTTAATATCAGCCCTGAAACCAAAGTATACCTCTAGTGTTGCAGTATCTAGAGGATAATTTATTTACCTAAGGTAGCCCAAGAGTAACAGGCATCAGTATCTACTCTAAAATTGATAACGCAAGGGGCTGTTCTAGGGTCTTCTTAAGATAAACAGTGCCATGTGGAGAACTTTTTTGGTCTTGAGTAGGGGAAGCATCTATACACCATGAGAGAATAAAAAATACTGCTGTTAAAGTAGTATTTCAGGAGTACACAGGCAACAGATTCCAGCAGGTACAGGCCCATCCCCTGGTGTACCATGTATGCTTACATTGTCAAATATGTTGGAAATCAAAGCTCTCATGAAACCAACTATGCACATGTTTTTTTTCTTTGTAGGATCCTTTGTAGGCCAGACATTTTTTCTTCAGCAGTAGAAGGTTCTATGTTTTTGCCTTGAGTTCCTGATATCAGCCTAAAATAAATTATTAATTCAAAATGGGAATGTCATAAAATGCAGAAATTCTTCCAATTCTACCCTAACTTGTCAAAAATCGATGCGTTCATTCACCAGACTAGTTTTGATCTGACCTTGTGATCTCTTCTCCCATACTTTCTCTCCTGTAAACTTTGCTGTTGTAGGACACAGACCCTCTGAAAAGTCTCTCCTCTCTTGACATACGAAGTCAGGATTCAAATAATCTCTCTTAAAATAACTGTATAAAATTATGTGACATTTAGAGTTATATTTCGCTATACTTCCACAGGATGAGTAGGTCTTTGATCTTTGAATATTCAGGGAAATAAAAGGAACTAATTAAGAAGTGAGCTATGCAGCAATATAAGAAGAGCCCAGCCTAGACCTTTGTCTGTAGTGGCAGTGTGGAAAACAAATCTAGAAAAGCCTACACACTTCCTAGTAAGTCACCCGTAACAGAGAGCAGACACCTCCTCAGTTCAGGGTAGTCCCTATGGCTGGCAGGTTGCCACCACAGTCACAGATGATTAAGAATATTTTACAATTGGGGTATCTATTACAGCTCACCCAGAACGGTCACCAAGCCACGATTCAGCTTGCTGTCATTGTTCAGAAGTCAGTGGTATGAGTCACATCTCCCACTCACCACTTTTATCCCCAGTATTACCTTCAAAGCCTGCCTCCAGCTTCCTCCCACTTGCTTTCACTGCACCCTCTGTCTCACATAGTTACTGAACTAGAATGTCATACGTCCGGTCTTCTGGTCAGAACACCAGTTGTGTATCCAGTACACAGAGGAAAGAGCCAGGGAAACCCCTTACACCAAGGCATCCTTCAGTCTTACATTTCACGTCAAAATTTCACCTCTGCTTAATCCCCTGTAATGCAGTGGTCTGTAACTGAAAAATTACCTTAACACATCTCATTTTTCACTTATTCTGTGTCATGGAATTGCTCTGAGTATGCCACAGTAATATTAGCTTTTATGCAGAAGATTTCTTCTATTGCTATTTCTTGGAGAATTTGCTGAGCTATTGGCCAATCTGTTTTGGTGCTTCACCTAGAGTCTTCCATTTATACAGCAGCTAATTTTCAATAGAAAAGACATGCAGGACAGGTTATGTCTTCATTAATGAAATGGCAATGTGCATCAATATGCAAAATATGTTCACTGAGATAAAAAAATATGTCTTTGCAGCACTTTGCATGTTAATATTTAGAGTCCTTTTTTGACTCTAAACAATAGCCAAGCAATACCCTTCATCTCAGTAGGATTGTCCCATTATACATGAGCTCTTAATTCAGTAATGTAGATGTCATGAACTAATGAATATCCTAATTACCTTGTGGAAACGAAGCACATATTAGTATCATCTGTGGAAGAGGCTGTGTACAGAGCAACAGCTGCTAAGGATGTGGTATACACACTGCATATATTTCAGACTGAGGTCTCAGACAACCAGGTCTGGTCTGGCCCCATGGACTGAACAGCCATTAACAGCAGAGAGGGTGGATGCTGTTCTTCAGGAACATCCCCTGGTTTAGGTTTGCCTAAAGAGAATCAAATCTGTGTATTTTGAGTGCTTTTCAATGTGAAGCAAGCATAGTAAGAGGTGGTAATATGGAGATCAATTTCAGAAGTATCCTTCTTATTTGAATTGAAGCATCAGTGTAGAAGCACCCTAGGTGTGTTTGGCTCTCAGATAAACCTTCAGTCAGGTTTATAATTCATACACAAAAAATTCCTAGCTCCTCCCCTCTCAATATGGCATCATTTAACATGCATACTTCTATTTTCTGCTTACAAGATGGTATTTCTTGGCAGAACGCACAGAGGAGGCACCTGTTATTACATCACGAGAATCACGACAAGTACTGAGTCAGAGCCCAAGAGCCAAGAGAAGCCCAGGGAATCTGAAGCAAAAGCATTAACTCCAAGTATTATTTCTGTTTGCTTGAATCCTTACAGAGCATTTCCTTACCTCCTTACTGCAAAACCCACTTCATTGGCTATGGATTTCTTAAAAAAATTGGACGTCAAGATAGAAGGGAAGGGAGAAGGGTTCTGTCATTCTTTGTCTTGAACTTTGTAAAGAATAGGAACCTGCATTTTACATGCTCCAGATCCCTGGAGGTGATTATAGTAATATCAGTGTCATACATTTCATCCAGACTTCAGTACTACAGCATCAAGCACATCTGCAATTCATGTATTATATGAGACGTATTAATATGAACACATCTACGTGCACCAATAAGCATAGAAAGAATAGTTTTTAAAGTTATTTAACCCACATCTAAGTATACTTGCATATAATCAGATATACTAATACATAATCAATAAAATACTCTTTTTATAGACATATAGAAATTAAAAAGCACACATGTACACATATATATATAGAGAGAGAAGCATGAATACATGCATGTCAGTGTACTGAAACTACAGAGACACTAAAGCTACAGCAAGGAGTTTTGACCACTAGAGAACAGTTCAGATTTTTTAATGATCATATGAAAACGTATCCTGATTTCTAATACTTAAACTGACAGACAAGTGCTGATTTCTGGGAAAAAAAATGAGCTCTGTTCATTTTGAGAAGCAGATTTACCAGTTCTGCCAGCACAACACACAAGCAGTCTGTAAAAAACTCTTTGAAAATTACAATGCTAAATTGAGAGAATACAAATGCAGTTTTCTTTATCTGGGAATGTTCAGCAACTTACCTATACAAGCAGAGTTTTCAGGCTTTAATCTGTATCCATTAGGACAGTTCCAGTGCTGCAGAGCTGAGAGGTTGACAAAACCAATTTTAAAAACCACTGGCAAAAAAGCAACAAGGAAGGGAAACATAATCTTGAGGATTTTTTTGAGCTGTCACTAGAGAAAAACTCGCTTGTATTCAGTCATATCCAGGACAGGATGAACATGTGCAATCCCAAAAGGTTTCTGCAATCTCCCACTTTACACTCAGACATCTTATCACAATTCCAAGTTTTATCTTTGCCTTGCTTTTCTTGTCACTTTAGACCTTACTGTGTCTGACTACAACCTTGAAGAAATTCCTGGGAGATTTCTTCGGTGCACACATCAGGGCTTTTTTTCTCTGTCTCTTTCTTTTTTTTTTTTTTTCTCTTTTGGAAGCCAAGTATGAAATGCCTGACCCTCCTGCCACAAATTTAACACAGCTTAAAAGCAACGCTCGCAGGGATCACTGAAAATTTCCGTGCAACAAGCAAAGCTGCTGTTTAAGTCCTAAAAATTAGAAAACACCACAGCTCTAAGTGGAGCGCAGGGAGCAAGGTCTCCAGGTACTGTCCTTCTCGGAAACGCAGTTGCTTTTTACATTCAAACTTGGACGGACTCCTCTTTTCTTTTTAAAGCTCTGCTTGCCCCACCTCTTCTCTTTTTAGTACCACTTGAGTGAACCCTGTGTTTGCAAATAGTAATGTGGTCAGTTCCTTACTACAGGGAACCGAGCCAGCAAGCAGATATCCAGCCACCCGTTATAAATACAGTCTCTTTAGAAAAGCAGCCCCTCCTGCTTGAGAAGTACCTGTGACTTTCAGCTAAGTTTTTTTCCTCAGAGACTGTAGAGAGGTTTATATGGTTCCTGTTCAGTCATGATTAGTTGCATTCATTTTAATATCACCATGTGTTTTACCACCAGAAACAATTTTTGTCATTGAAATATTTAATGCAAAAAGGAAGGGGGGGAGGGGTGGGGAAGAATCCCTCTGGTTTCTCTGATAGATTTCAACTGGAAATTCAAATCAGCTTAAGGTCAGGTTCAAATCTAGGGTATGTGTTTGTAATTCCAAAATCGAAACCACCTCTCTCAGGTCCCAATTTGGCCTTTGTGTATTTCCAGGGAAATACCTGCTGTCAGAGACCTGGGTAAGATGTTCTGACCCTGCATATCTCATGGATGTTGCAGTCATTTGTATGTACACTAATGCTGCATAAGGCTACCGTTGGGATGCAGTGCTCTTTCACATCTGTTCCACTGAGGTTTAAAAACTAGACAAATTCCAGGTGCATTAAGCTCATAATTCTTCAGTACTGCAAAAAAAATCTCCTTTTCCCCAGTCCATCAACCTAGACCAGCAAAGCTCTGAAGCACAAGCATAGGTTTGTGCTTCTAAGATTTGCTGAATTTCCAATGTCCTGAGATTTAAGCAGGTGTTTAAATGGTTGACCGAGCCAGGCTTTGTTGAGCTAACTACTGTGAGGTATTCTGGGTTTGTCACTTTTTTCTTTCCTTCAATTTTTAAAATTTTATTTCTGCAGTGTTGTTCTAGAATAAATACTAACACAACAACTGGATACAGTAGCAGCATCAAATGGTAACCTACAGCTATGTGAGTTCCATCTCCAGGAATTCTTCCCCTTCCCTCCCTTCCTCTCCCCATATTTATCTGAATCGATAAGAGTCCAGACTTGCACTGTCAGAAAATAGGAAGGATGAAACCTGTTATAAATTGGGCCACTCTCCAGAAAAGTAACTGTTTCTTGATGTTTCTGTCTGCATGCAGGCACATCCAGGTCTCTCAGCCTTCACTGCTTCTGCTAATGCAACTAGTTAAATCTGGACTGACAAATGGCAGTCACATTTCCATATACTCTGTTCAGAACCTAATCTCTACCCACATGCTATAAAATACAATAACAGTAATGTAAATTATGCAGAGCCAGACTCATGCCAAACACCATTTGCTTCTCCAAATAGTCCCCTGGAATACAAAAGGGCAAACAATGCGAAAGCGCAGTATAATGCCATCCCATCTAAGATTACAGGGCCCTGCCCAAGAAATGTGTTATGTTCCACATGAACGTCTTTTACTAATTGTGCAGCAATTGGTTCCTCCTCACACAATTTTCGTCACTGTTCAAGCTGGGAGCAGGCAACCTAACCAGTTTAAAAGGAATGTGTCACTTCTTTGTGAGCAGCCACCAGCAGAGAGTTTGCCAGACCATGAGAGTGGCCGTCCAAGCACATCCCTGACCTCTTTTAGGGCAGACTCAGACAAACTCACTGAAGGAGACAAAATGAGTAAGCTCTGCCTTTCCTTTTAAAACCCAGAAACAATTTATGTCTGACTCACTTTCTTTTAGCCTCTCATTTACAAACATTGTCTTTTCTGAACATCTCCCTCAATTCTCCCCCTGCTCCATTTCCACTTTTTGCCTTTACACAAAATACAGCAAAAGGCACATCCCAGAATTTCTTTTTCTTTTTTTTCTCTAAAATAAAAGTGAATACAGAACTGTCTGACACAGCAATACCACAGTGATCTTTTCTGGAAGAAGAGATCCCTTCACTTCAGTCAGGTAAAGAGTACTTAATAAAGTCATTAATTTTGCCACCCTTGAACTAAAAGAATAGCTAAAAACAGGAAGAAAAATCTCTTGATAGTGGGAATACTTTTTTACCCTTAAAAACCAAATATAACTCAGACCAGAACAAGCTACCAGATAAACAATATATTTTATTATGATCTAGGACTATGTATATAAATATCCATTCAAAAGTGGAGGGAAGAGATCATCTCCCCTTACATCAAACCATAAAGTTCTCAATAAAGTATGAAATGCATCAGGTTGTACCACACCTACACTTTTCAAACTATTTTTCACCAAGTCATTTAGCATACCACACAGAATAATTCCTTTAAACCTCAAGTCATTTAGCATTTGAGAAGTTGTTCAAATGAGTTTCTACAAAGCAGACTGTTGTGCTCACCTACAGATATTAAGTACAGTAATTTACATTAATCTAGCACTCGTATGATAAATTAGACAAAAATAGCACAGCAGTCTTATTTGTAGAGCTCACTGCCAAATCAGCCCAAAAAAATTATACCAGTTCATCCAATGTGAAGAACTTAGTTGAATTTGACCTGCTGAATTGACAGACTGATGAACTAACAACAAATCAGCATTTTATTCCTTTCTCTTGGGTTTACCACTGTCTTGGCTAGCTTTGGAAGGCTTTCTTTGCCAAAGTTGGTAAAGAACAGCGAGTGATTCAAATGGAGGGAGTCTTCCTCTCTACCTTGGCATTCAGCTGCTGTCATCTAGTTCAAGGATAGTATATTCTGGTGCTTTCTAAATTTTGAAGGAAATAGAGCCCTCTCATAGTTTCCCATGGCTTTCAGTATCTACATTGTATTGATTAGCACAGTTTAAATCATGTTTTTGTTTTTATTCTTCCTTGCTACACATTACACTAGCTTGTCAGTACTTGGCCTTCTTTTTCTGTCAGCCTCTGAAAATCTGATTCTGGCCTTAGGCATGTTCTTCTCTGGTTAAAGTTATATTTATAGTCATCATAATCCAAATTACCACCAACACAGGTTAATTATTAAATGTGAGAGTTCACTAATACAGCCAAGGGAATGTGTAGTGGCTATCTCTAGTACAAATAGCACAGAGCAGCGAGGAACACTCAGATCCCACAAAACAGCTTCCAGAACCTCTCCAACGGCCCAATGGAATCTGCCAGCCCCTGGGAATTCATGCTGACGTACACGTCATTCTGACAGAAAAGGTAGAGCAGTAGCTGATTGACACAAGCAGCTTTTGAGATGATCCTGAGGATTTCTGACAGCCTCTGGGAAAAAACACCCGGCATTGGTGAACGCTGTGCCTCACACCTACTTGCTGAAGCCTGATCTGAGGGTCAGTGTGGGGATAACTGACTGATCACCACACTTTCCGTGACAGGACAGTGCTTGATTCAGTACTGTTAATATCGTTTCAGCAGGTTCAGCATGCATCGTCTGTAATTCTGATGAAAGAGACATTATGCAATACTAAATTGCCTGTCAGACAGAGCAGGGGGAGGTACAGCATGAGAGAGTGGCATATTCCAGTGATCTCTCAAAGCCGAGAATGCCTGAAATCTCCTCCTGAGGAACGATGGCCATTCTGGCTTTGTCCTCAAGCATGTTGATCATCACTTCAACAGTTTGGAGATGATACTTGGCTAATAGAATGTTTTAATTTAATTTAATAGTGAAAATAATCAAAAAGTGGGGATTTAAATCATGCAAGCTTTTTGAAAACCAAGTGTTATGGTAGGTAATCTCTTTCCACTTGATTGTTTCACAGCAGCAATTACAACAAACATCCATTGGGGGATTTTTTTGGTAGTCTAAGTCCCATGTTTTTTTCTGCAACAGTTAGGTTTTTTTCCTACTGCAAACTGATCTTAAGTAAAAGAAGAAGACAAAACCATCCATGATTAAGCCATACTTTTAACCATACCTGATACTTTCTTAAGCAATGCTTTTTTAAGCAATCTTTTTACATTTAACATTTTTAACAGGCATCTTTCACCAGCTGCTATACAGTGAACACATATTTCATCAGCTGGACCACACTGCAGTCCACAGAAGGATTCAGAAAGAAAGTTAGATATGCTCTCCCTTGTATCCAGACAGCCAGAACAAGAGCAAAACATTCTGGGGAAGCCACATAGCACATTTCTGACTTATGACATTTATCAATGTTAGATGACTACATTAAGCCTCTATGTTAACAGACATAAAGGAGTAGCTAAAATAGCACGTTGAAACAGTCAGTTGGCTCTCTGAAGTTGAGATAAAACTGGGGATAAAGCAAGTAATTTGTTACCATTAATAAGGTCTATGTAGCTTTCTATGTGAGAACATTTAAGAAAGGACCTTAGTAACATTTCTTCACTGTCAGGGTCAAAAAAGGTATGCTCCCCGTCTTTTTTCACTGTTTCCATCCCGAGAGTAGCTCTGTTTCCCTCACAACAAAATGATTTCTAGTACATGTTCTAGAACAGCTGCTCTAGCAGATCTCTCAGAACAAAGGCTGAAATCTGATTTCAATGATTTTTGGAGTTCCTGAGCACTCACATTTACACTGATATCAGTAAAAGATTAGGATTTTAACTGTCGGTCCATAGGTTCTTATTTGAAGCCCATCTATCATAGATACTGCAATTTTTACCTTTTTTTATCAAGGTAGTTTTTTTCTAGGAAGGCAAATAATTAAAATTACTTTTTCAGTCAACTTTTTTCTCCTCATTACAGACCTTTTCAGATTCCATTCTTCTTGTGACCATGATGCTCTTTAGAAAACAAACACCAAGAAAAACATTTTATGGTTTTTGTTTTATGGCTGTTTTGCTGGCTATACGGAAGAGAATCACTGCATTTACCAATTCAATTCACTTTGTCCAGTTAACCCCATTTCACCTGATGCATGTAATCCACCAGTTTGGCATACCTACAGAAACACATATCTGCATAAGCTTATCTCAAAGGCAGAATCAAACCAGATGGATAATAAATAGAAGAAGAAGAAACAGACATTATTA